GAGAATTAGGGTTTCTACATTAAACCATCAGTTTCTAGAAACAGAACTGCTTATTTCCAGCCAATAAGCTTAAATCAAACTTCCAACTCCGTTCTGACGTGGCCAGGTTTCCATCAGCTGCTGTCTGCTTGGCTTTGCAGCCAAATCCTCCTTACGCTGCCCCGCATCACCTTCGCTTCATCTTTCTGTCTCTGACACTCCCCCGTCCCTCGTTTTAATCCTCCACTCCTTTTAGTCGGAGGGTTCCCTTTCCTGGAACTTAATCCAAACCAGGTTGGGGTTAAAGGTTAGCTCGTGGATTGTGTGAGCGAAAGGCTCGTCTGCAGGACCGAAAACTGCTAATCCAATAAATCCAGACTCTTTACTGTCTGAAGCCTAAGAGGGAAATCCTGACTCTAAAAGAGGAAAGTGATGAGAACAGGATGAGGTGCATCACTCAGGTTGGGTTTCACTGTTTGAACTCAAGGATGCCAAAAAGCTACAGGAACAAATTTATGAGCGAATGAAGATCAGTGATGAATCAAAGTGCTATTAGACTTGTTTATGTTGAAAATCCTCCAATTTCCTGCTTTAATTCTTCAAATTAAGGGAATTTAAAAAAATAGATTGTGAAAATATGACATTTAATTTTTAGTTTATGCTGAAGGTTTAAGATTTATTTTTGTCATCTGTCATCAAACAGTGAAGAACAAGAGTATTTGATCCCGCGTGCGCGTTTGTGGTGGTTGAATGGGCAGATTTGAATGAAACTCTTTATTGGATGTTTTACAGAAGAGCTGCAAAAAGAAAGAAAATAATGTTATTATTAATTTTTTTTCACTCAGTGGCCCAATCCTCTTCCGTATGACATCTAGGAATTTTTCATCCGATTCAAGATGGCCACCAAAGCAAATGCAAAACAACCAGAACTCCGTTTGGCAGAAATTGAGCTAAAATATCTGAAGACATCATTTCTCCACAGAGGAGGATCTGGGTAAAAAAAAACTTTGGCTTGAGTTTCGGCAAGAGGCTAAACACTCGTGTTTATGGAGGATATTTGGACTTTCTGAGTTTTATTTTGAAACCTAAACATCAGCGAGGACGGTGCAACGATGTTCTAGCCTGAATGATGAAGCTCTGATAAACCAGATGAGAAAATCCAGTTCACCTTTACTTTTGCTCAGACCAACCAATCCGTCCAGATTATTGCTCTTCTTTAAGAAATTCCAGTCTCCACTGTGGATTAAAGGTGTGGTTTACCAGAGGTGTGGACTCGAGTCATATGACTTGGACTCGAGTCATTATTTTAATGACTTCTGACTTGACTTGACAAAATCTATAAAGACTTACGGCATGACTCAGACTTGAACGCCAGTGGCTTGCGACTTGAATCGACTTGCATCTGTTGACTTGATGATGACTTGAGCGTATTTTAGCACAAAAGTGGCCCGGCATGGACGAAAATCTTAAATAATTCTTGGTTCTGGGTTAGATCTTGTCTTGCTAAATGCAGCAGCACTTTGTTTGGAGTCAGTTTCAGTTTCTGCTTGTTTGAGCAAATAAATGAAGCTTTAAGAAGCTTTATTCCTGGAATGAATTTATTATCATTGTCATTCAATTGAAGTTGGACAGATGACTTGATTATGACTTGAAAATTCAAAGTTATGGACTTGGACTTGACTTGGACTTCCAATTCATGGACTTTGGGCTTGACTTGGACTTGGTTGTCTTGGACTTAGCCTTGACTCGAGACTTGACTGGAAAGACTTGTGACTTGCAAAGCAGTGACTTGGTCACACCTCTGTGGTTTACTGAAAAAACATGTTTTATTGATTATTTCTGATTATGATAGGTCACTCTCAGTTTTTCACAGGGTTTGAATTACTGGGGAGCTAAGGGGAGCCTGGAACCCCACCCCCACCGTGTCACTGGGCTCCCCGAGAAGCCTCTCTGTACTTCACACCTATCTCCTGCATTAGCTTCTGATAGAAAACAGACGGTGAAACTCTAGGATTAGAAAATCCTGACAGATCTACGTCACAGCGTCACTTAACATTCATGGACTCACCCATCTGGACTCACGACTGGGAAGGCTGTTGTTGGTTTAGCATCCAGGAAACAGCAGAGAACGTCTCAGCTAGTAGAAGCTAACGTTAGCATTAGCAGCTCCACCACACAGCGGAACTCCTCCGGGCTTGTGTTATTTCTGGAGATGAAACATCAACGTTGCAGAGCAAACAGAGTCAGCGGCAGAGTCGTGTTGCTGTTAGCCAATCAGAGGAGAGATGTCGTCTGAAGCTCAGCCGTGACTCACTTCTAGTTCCTGAAACAGGTGCACCGGTGCTTCTTTTCCTCAGAGTATGACTTACAAAGTCCGACACCTCTGCAGATGTACAAATGAAACCAGTGAACCACACCCTTAATGTTGTGCATGTAAAACTTGTGGAAGAATCAAGAAAATTTTAGATTTTTTTGGAAAATTCAAACCAAATTAATCTCTTTTTTTTATCCTCCAGTTTGAGCTTTGTTGGATTTAGTTTCACAGCTCTGGAGACAATTTGTGCAACCTCACTGACCAGTGGCGTCTCATCCTGGTCCTCGAGCACCACTTCTGCTTCAACACAGCTGTTACGAATGACTGAGTGTGTAGAGGCTCGGTTAAAAGCTGCACTTCTGCTCTAAATCATCAACAACAAGGGTGAATGATGCAACCTGAAGAGAACACGAAAACATCTCATCTCCATTACACCTTCTGGCCGTTTAAGCTGCCAGGTAAATAGCATGAAGCCACGCCCCCAGAACCAATGACTTGATGAGAGCAGAACCCCAAACACCTGCGGATTAACCAACGCGACAAACATCCACTCTGACTCCGGCAGGATCAGCGAGCTTCTGCAGACCTCATTAAATCAGCTGATGGAGGACGGAAACATCTCCAACAGGAGGAAGATTGTCAAATGTGTTGTTAAAAAGCAAGTTTTGAGAAGAGAAAAGGAAGAAAATGTTGGCACATAAGTGAATTTAAGCAGAAACGTTAATAAGAAAAGTATCCGAGGATGCAGCAGCTCAAGGGAACGAGGCACACGGGTCATATAAACTGGGAGGGGCGATCGCAGAAACCTAAGAAATAAACTAAATTAGCAACAGCAAAACTTTAGAAAATCTTTATTAGAGCTGAAAGAGAAGTGAATCAGGGTTTAACCTCATCCCAGGGTCAGGTGTGTCTTTATTCTCGTGTCGCCCTGCAGGCCGAGCGAAGCAGATGGAGGCTTCAGAGGACAACACTTAGTTAATTAAGTAGGTTTAATTCCGCCACCATCACTCACCAGATTTAAACCGTTAAACCCCCAGCTGACCAGTTCTGGTAACAGCGCTGCTTTATTTTTACTGCAGGTAAATCCCACGGAGTTACTCTGGCTTATTTTAAGCTGCAGGTCAAGACAGGATACGGTTGGTCAGACTTTCATCTAAAAATAGAAAAATGTTCAGGGGACAAAAAGGTTTCAATGTAGAAAGTAACTCATGATAATGAGAGCCAGTTCTGCGAAATTAAAGAAAATATGTGAAGCCAATTATAAATAAAGTATTGATCAAAAAAAGTTTGAAAAGCTTTTATTTTGAAAAATTAACGTTATCAGCCACATGTTGGAATAAATCACATTCTGATAATCAAGCCATCAAGGTTATAAACTGATGATAAACTATAGATTTTATTTAATTAAACAGAAATGGAAATGCGGCGACGGGAGACGACTCTCCCGTGCCCCGCCTCCAACATGCCTCCATCTAAAAAGGCTAGGTTACCCAGAGTTATCTCTGTAGTTATGCTGCTATAGGCTTAGACTGCTGGAGGACACACCGACCACTTTCCACACTCGACTACTTTCTTCTACAATCTGCTCTTTAACTGTATTCTTTCCTGCTATTTCAGCTGTTAACTTTATTTTCTCTCTAAGTGTTTTTCTCCCCAGAAGAAGCTACAACGATGTTCTGCTGAGCTGTGGTGGCCTCATGGAGGGGGCCATCGTCTAGCACACTTCTACTAACCACTAAAACATTCTCCCTCTCCTGATAATAACTTTTTACTTTCCTTGACGTTGGATGTGCTACTACTAGTTTACCCGTTTAATTATAGATTCACTAGGATAAATATAATAAAGTTTATCTCTCACCAAATAGAATATTTACTAAGACATCACAATATAACCATAGACACATTGTGTGTGTGTGTGTGTGTGTGTGTGTGTGTGTGTGTGTGTGTGTGTGTGTGTGTGTGTGTGTGTGTGTCTGCTCTGTCTTCTCGATCCCCAGTGAGTCGTGGAGGATGGCTGCTTATACTGAGCCAGGATCCTCTGGAGGTTTCTTCCTGTTAAAAGGGAGTTTTCCTCTCCACTGTCGCTATATGCTTGTTTAGTATGAGGATTGCTGTGATGCAATTTGCTGGGTTCCTTATATAGGAAACATTTTTTCTGATTGGCTTCATGAACTGACGTGGATTGGAATGTTTGTTATGTGAAGTGCCTTGAGACGACTCTTGTCGTGATTTGGCGCTATATAAATAAAATTGAATTGAATGCGATCCTCTGATGGGAGATAAATGTGATTGTGAGGAAGCAGCAGCTCAGGAAGGTTAAAGTTCACCTTTTTGCTGCTGTGGCTCCGCCCCTATAGGTGGAGGGTTGGGTTGCACAGTTTAACTGACTTACCTCAGTGGATGGAGGCTGATTTTTGCCTGCTGCTGACAGATCAAGCATCACCGATTGTCCCTGCTCGTCCGTCAGGTAGGACACAAACCGAGGGCGAGACAGATTACAAGGGTCGTGTTTTCTCTGGTTGTTGATTCAAGTTCCTTCTTTAGTCTGACGATTAAGTGTGTTCATGTAGAAATTCTGTGAAAATCTGATTGTTTTGTGATGTCATGATGGAAACTTCACATTCGGCTTGGTGCTTTGAGCCATTTTGGGTCTTTTAATGTTTTGCATCATCAGTGGAGACAAACGTTTCTCTGATTTTATTGCATCTTAAAAATCTTTTAGGTGGTCAGATGTTCAGACGCTTTTAAGGACATTTGACTGACTGGTGGCTGACCCTGCGTGATTTCTGCTGAGGTTTACAGATTTTAGTTTAACTTTAATCAGAATCAGACCAGAGAAATAATAATAATTGTTGGTTGAAGTTACTGCGCAAAAAGGAAAAATTTGAAAAGTGTGTTGAGTCTGCGTAGAAAATACCTCAGAAGTATGCATGATCATTTCTGTTTTGTTTCATATTTTTTACTTTTCCATATTTATGTGTCCCAGGTGTTCAAAAATCTGCAAAACTGAACCCCAAACTCTGATATTGATAACTAAACCCAAGCGTGCCGGTGCTATGAAACAAAATGAACCACTAAATCACAAATATTGTGCGAAATTTTGCGCTGTTCTTCATTTTGTGTTAGAAAATGATGCACAAGTTCTCACTAGTTGGAGTAAAGCTGGAAAACCATTTCCTGTTGGCATGTGATGGAGCGAGTTCTCCACCCAGAACACGTTCTCCACTCAGAACCGTAGCCGTCAATCTCATTTAATCTGCTAACAGAACCGGACAAATCGGACTTCTAAGTATTTATCTACAGTCTTCTGCCTCCAAATCTCCTCCAGCAGTTGGTAGTTTCAACCTTTCTTACCTCAACCTGAGCACTTTATACTCCACGTTAATCCCAGTCATTTATCAATGTGGATTACAGTCCAAATAAGGGATTATACCTTCGCCTTCCTCTCCACAGTTAATTATTTCTTTGTTCTTTAGTAGCTGATTGTTCATTTTTAAGATCCTGACCCATTTGAGGAACATCAAACTGTTGAGTAACTACCCTCCCTAATTTAGGAAAAGGTCACGTGGAACGTAATTTAATCCACTGTTCAGGATTATATCACATGAGGTTAGAAAGTATGCACTGAAAATAACAGTTAATTCTTTAACTGAATGTCTAATTTAATCCCACCTAATTGAAATTGAGATTCCTTACAAACAACAAAGAGAAACCAAAACCATCTGAGACCGCGCCATGACTCATCGATAAACAAGCCATCGGGATTCGACCCAAGATAAAAGACGTCCTTGACACCTCTTATCGGTTTTACCCATGATTGATTGGATTAATGAGCTCATCAGGTGCCTTTTGCTCTTTTCACAGCATTTGTCTCCACCGGCTGAACTACAGGCCAGGAGCAGCATCAAGAGGAACATTTTCTTCTGTTTAGCACTTTTACCAAAAAGAGTAGGCGAACCCATCGGCTGAGGTTGGTTACAGTCGCGTCAGAGTAGCCAAAGATAGCAAATTTGCATCTTAAAACAGCTTTCAAAGACAGCCAGTTATGGGTAACAGCAAGAGTGGAGCGGTGTCCAAGGAGATCCTGGATGACCTGAAACTCAACACCAAATTCACAGAGACGGAGATAGTCCAGTGGTATGAAAACTTCAAGAAGCAGTGTCCAACAGGGCGCATTTCCAAGGATGAGTTTCAGAACATCTACAAAAAGTTCTTTCCAGATAGCGACGCCAACACTTACGCCCAACACGTCTTCCGTTCCTTTGACACGAACGACGATGGCACGCTGGACTTCAAGGAGTACATCATTGCTCTCCACATGACGTCAACGGGGAAGACCACCAGCAAACTGGAATGGGCATTCTCTCTGTTTGACGTGGACAAAAACGGATACATCACCAAGTCAGAGGTCACAGAAATCTGCTCGGTGAGTTTTTGGGGAAGTGGTGGTGGTGTGTGTTGGGTGTTTGGAGTTCAGGAAGTTTATCTTGAGAAATTAGAGCAACAAACAAGAAGCACAAACTTAAATATAACGAAAAGTATCATCTGCAAAGAGTTTAACATTAGATGATCTCATTCCCACCTATCCCTTTTTCTGGACCTATTATTGGAGATTATCCCCACGTCAATGGGAAGGGGCATGGTCCAGTCTAAACTGATCACCAGACCATCACAGGTCCAAAAGACACACTAGTGCTCATACACACACACACACACACTGGTCAGATTAGATTCACCAATTAAACCAACATCCATGGTGTTGGAATGTGGAAGGGAACCCAGATGCTGTTGTTTGCCCTCACCCTACTCGAACATCACCATGCTGGCATGGAGCAAAGACAGATCTATTTATCCTCCACTATTATATTCATATTTTAATAAACTGAAACAAGAGAAGTAAAACACATTTTGGTGAAAATTTGCTGATTAATGGCTCTTTGGTTTTACCAAGAAGGAAGATTGTAATCCATCATTTGGTTCTTTTTGTCACACGGTGTAATAAAGATTTGTTTTAACACTGTTGCCTTCCTCAGAGCAACGCCGATGTTGACCTAAACATCCACTGATGGTCTTGATCAGGTTGCATGGGGCTGGTTACCTCCAGGTGGTCTTTGGGCGTTTGGTTACGCTGATACGGGAGTACCATAGGAAACCCCTGCATGAACAAGGAGACCTTTCTACACAACCCCCCCCCCCAACCGTAGTAACGACCCTGTTGGAGGGCAACAGTTCTGGCCAAAATAGTGGTCATATGTAGACAAATCAGTAAACCGTAGATTTCTCTGAGGAAATGGGCTGTATTTATCAAGTTGTCCCAGTTGGCCGCTGAACCGCTGCTGCTTCCAGATCCCTCATGGGAAAGAGATGGATCTGCACCCACATACAGTATGCTTCTCAAAGATCCTTGCATATACGTTGCAAAAGTGACCAATTACAGAAGGTTAAATCATACAGAGCGTTTGTAAGTTGTTCATGGAAATCCACTGTACCATCACTCCATCTATTAATAGATACTAGTGGCTATAAAAGCTGCAGTTAAATGGTTTGGAAATGGGTTTGAATCTATTTTGTCTGCTTTAATCCTAGATAAACTATTTTATAGTGAGTCCTGGTCATGACCATGGACCAACATTTAGACAAAGCAGGCCCAAACAGATTAGTGGCTTGTTTTTGCAGGGCACTGACCTATTACTAAACCTGTTAATGGTGTTTTGTAATAACCTGTAGGCACATGTTTATAGACTGTTATGTTACAGGTTACCTAACATGGATAAGGACTTGGAATTAAATCCAAATTACATTTAAGAAAGTCGTTTCAGCTGAGTCCGAGTTTCTTCAAGTAAAGACACATTTTCATCGAATTTTCTCCTTTTACATTTTTATTTCTGCTCACAGGTCTGATGCCACATTTAGATGGAAAGGCCACGGTCTTATCCTTGTTAGGTAATATATTTACAGGATTAGACTTTTATTTACGCTGATAAACAGTTTAGGCTTAGGTCTGAGCTGCAGAGAAAGCCGACGCCGTGGGAGGAGAGGATTCACGGACGTGAGGAACTGTTTTGAACGACGAGTGAAGTTTGAATGCTTGCTTCACATCTTACGGAAACACAAAGGTTCCTAAATAATCTACTGCAGTGGCTCCCAACTCTTTCCTCTCAGGAAGCCCTTGCCTGTGTCCACAATCCCAACTCCAAATCCACGTACTCACAGTAAAAAATGACGACGATATAAGATGATGTCAGGAGAAGTGATGCAATATAATACAAAACATAAAAATACATAAACCCTCCAGCAAAATACGACGCAGTTATCGTCGTCGTCTTCCTCCGCTTATCCGGGTCCGGGTCGCGGGGGAAGCATCCCAACTGGGGAGCTCCAGACCGTCCTCTCCCCGGCCTTGTCCACCAGCTCCTCCGGCAGGACCCCAAGGCGTTCCCGGACCAGATCGGAGATGTAACCTCTCCAACGTGTCCTGGGTCGACCCGGGGGCCTCCTGCCGGCAGGACATGCCCGAAACACCTCCCCAGGGAGGCGTCCAGGAGGCATCCTGACCAGATGCCCAAACCACCTCAACTGACTCCTTTCGATCCGGAGGAGCAGCGGTTCTACTCCGAGTCCCTCCCGAATGTCCGAGCTCCTCACCCTATCTCTAAGGCTGAGCCCGGCCACCCTACGGAGGAAACTCATTTTGGCCGCTTGTATCCGCGATCTCGTTCTTTCGGTCATTACCCAAAGCTCATGACCATAGGTGAGGATTGGGACGTAGATGGACCGGTAAATCGAGAGCCTGGCTTTCTGGCTCAGCTCCCTCTTCACCACGACAGATCGGCTCAGCGTCCGCATCACTGCAGACGCCGAACCAATCCGCCTGTCGATCTCCCGATCCCTCCTACCCTCACTCGTGAACAAGACCCCGAGATATTTAAACTCCTCCACTTGAGGTAGGACCTCTCTCCCGACCCGGAGTTGGCAAGCCACCCTCTCCCGGTCGAGAATGCAATTATAAGGTTTAATGTGATTATATAAGGCAGAACATACCACACACATATATATATGGAATGGGATATGCTATATGAAACAATTCTGTCTGATTTAATGCAACATATGAGGCAGAATACTGTAAAACATAACATGCAACAAAACGAAAGATTAGGAGAATTTCATGCGATACTATCTGATCAATACAACAATAAAATGCAGTAATTAAAGCAAGTATTGCTTTACCTACATTACTTTTCTGTTTCTGACGAGGATTCTCAGTGCTGTTGTTAGAAAATTTAATATTTTAGGAGATTTCAAAGATAGATTTCAAAAGTCAGACACGTGAAAAAGAGGTCACCACCCAGGACTAATCCAAACCGCAACTCTCTGATGAGTTTGAATATCTGTCCTCTTCATGCAATCACTTTTATGGCAACCAGATTTTCGTTTAAAAGACTGGAGCTAAAATAATCTCAGAACAAAGCCGGAGGTGGCGGACAAGCTGATGGATCAGTCCTTGTTTACCATGCCTGTGTTTGTGTAGGGCCTTCTAGGGTTAGGAGGAGATTAAATGTGTTTTATTTGATTTTATTGCATCTTAAGAATCCTCTAGGTGTGCTACAGCCCCCCCCCCCCCCCCCCCCCCCAAGGTGCTTCACAACACAATCAGTCCTTCACTCATGCACACACACATTCTCACGCTGGTGGTGATGAGCCACACATCTGCCCTGGGCGTTCTGACCGAAGCGAGGCTGCCAATCACTGGCGCCACCAGTGGAGGTGTGGGTTAAGTGTCTTGCCCAAGGACACATCAGCAGCATTCTATGCTAGGAGCTGGGATCAAGCCCACAACCCTCCGATTACTGGACAACCCGCTCTACCTCCAGAGCTGCTGTTGCCCGGCAGACTGCTTCTTCTTGCCCATAGTGCTGTAAATCAGTCCGATTCAGATGTTTGGTTCAAACCTGGACATTAAATTATGAAGATCAATGACAGCCAAGAAGAAATGAAAATAGTCTGTTTGACCAAATTTTTTTGTTTTTTGTATTTTTTGTTTGTTTTTTTGCCTCCAACAGTCAATTTTTAAGCTGATTCCAAAAGATGAAGTGCCGGATCTACCTGACGATGAAAACACACCTGAGAAGAGGGCCGACAAACTCTGGAAGGCCTTCAATAAGGAAGAAAATGGTGAGATGATGGAAAGTTTTCATTGTTTTGTTATCTAAAGTCATTCCGCAGCTATTATGGAGGGTCTCGACTAGAGCTGATTTGGGCTGACCAATCAGAGCGGAGCATGTGTCTCAGGGGTGGGGCTTAGTCTCGCTTGGTTTATTCCCCTCTGACTCTGCAAAAACTTCAAACAAATCCATAAACAAGAATTTTATTTAGTTTTTAATGTTTTGTTTTTCACTCAGAGCGAGTTGCAGAAGGAGAGTTCATCCAGGGACTGTTGGATAACGACGACGCTCTTCGTTTGATCCAGTATGAACCTTCAAAGTAACGTTCCTCTGTGAGCGCTCCCTCGCCGCCAGGCTCGGTCTCTCTGTAAACGCAGCACCCGACAGCCTCCTGAACACACCTGAGGTGTGTTGGTCGTGTCCTCGTCCCAGAACTTCTTCTCCTGCTTGGTTTTGTAACGTGTGACTCGTGTGCTGTCTGAATAGCCGTTAGCTTTAAACAGAACATGTAGAAAAAGTGGAAAGCAGATGATCACATGAAAGATGCATTCATCGTTATCACCATAGCAACCATTTACAAATGTGATGGTTTGCAGCAAATCACCACATAAAGATGAAAATATCTCGTTTTTACAAAGTCTGCAGCCAAAAGCACGCCGTCACAGTTGGTATTTCATTTAAAATCTTAGAAAAGATCAGTTTTTTTTCCATATGATAATCTGTCCTGTGCATTGGTTTGATTATTGTCCCGTAATCCCAAAATTCCAAGGTGGAATATCTGTGCATGTTTGATGTTATACTGAGAATTGGAAAAGTAGTGCTGGTCCTGGATTCTCCTTTGTTATAAATCCACCAAATGAGAACAATAAAGCTCTAACTAAAACATGGATGTCAGCGTGATATTTAGTCTGTTTGTGGTTAATGATGAATGAGTTTGTCTCAGACATCACTTCCCAAAGGGACACTGTGGCGCCCAGATCCGGGCGGGATGGATCATCACTACGGCGAGTTTTGGGTTTCCGTAGAATCTCCTCCCACTAGCCAACCTAAGGGTAAAATGGTAAACGGCCTGTGTTTGTATGGCGCCTTCTCAAAATAAAGTTCATTATTTTATCTTAATGTATCGAAAAACAAAAATTGCTTTTTGTTTTTGTTTTTGTGCTCGAGGAACGCAAACAGTCACTGACACCTGGGACATGAAACTCCAAAGGCCCCCGATTGGGAGGCGCCAGGGCCCAAAGAAAAAAGGCCTCGGGCCTAAAGGGTTAACGGCGGATTGCATAAACAAACCGTGACCTGAAGTCTCGAGGGATCTCGCGAGTCCAGTGAAGAGCACAACGAGGAAGCCGTGCCGCATGCCGAGACTCTCCCGGTGTGAAAAGGGCCGCTTTGAAGTTTGAGAGTAAACCGCTCCGCTGCCGTTTCGTGGTGCTGAAGCTTCCGAAGGCAAATTAGGAAATGGAGAGATTTGGTTTTTGGCTCGGCTTCTTCCTTCACTCCATCCTGCCATTAAAACACCAAATACCTCAAAAATAATAAATCACCTACATTTCTATAGCGTCTTTCAGAGTCAGAGGACTCCAAATCGCTTTACACTGCAGCGAAGGAGAAGACTGAACTCTGAACTCTTCTTAAGGCGGCTCTGCAGCGGGAGTCCGGTCCTTCTCTAGGAGACGGGTCCAGAGCCAAAGCAGTGTGAGGAAATTAGCCCAATTATATCTAGCTGGAGTCGCTGAACCTCACACGCAACCTCCCACTCCTTCCCCACCAGCAAGGTGACATTCAGCCTACCTAAAGCCGGTTAATGACGCTGGGGATCAGCACGCCACTGCCCATGACCTCCTCTGCCACCAGGCTTTTGTCGCTGCCCCGGCATTGATTTCTGCATCAAAACGTGATGAGAGGAAGTTTCTGTAGCAATGGAGCTAAGGTTCAACCACCACTGCAACCAGGACGGTGCCCCGATGGGCGACGGCCCTAACCGGCCCTCTTCATCACAATAATGTGACGCTAAATGATGCCTTAACTGTCTTTTTATCCAACCTCTTAGTAATCACTAACCTCATGGTTCTGGTCAGTGACTCCGTTTATCCCCACCTCACTGCCTGAATTAAGTCACCCCCTCCCTCTTCTCTGACCGGGGCAGATTACTGACATAATCTGTAGTCCAGCATCTGAAAACATCTGTCTACAAGCCAAACTCTCTTTCAGTCTGTTTAATGTTTTTATGATTCCTAGAAGTAGGGTTAGGGTTACTTAGGGTTAGCTACTGTTTCACTGACGCTGAAACAAACGACAGATCAGTCGGATCGGGAGGTACTTAACACTCGTCAGGTCAAGAATGTCAAATATTTCATCAAATTAAAGTTTGATTCGAGAGGAAAGAGCTCTGATACGAAGAAAGTCACACGATGAGTAAAAGAGTTTCAAATGAATGACAAATACAAACTTCCTGATAAGAAATCAATAATAATAATATCTAAGAGTGAGTGTTTAAATTTATATTACACATTCAATTATTTGATAATCACATTGTGACGAAAACAAATTGTAGTTTTTTTGCAATTAAATTTTTTTTCTATCATTTTCCTTACCCAGAAGATGCCCAGCTTTTCTAATAACGTCACGACTAACAACAAAATCAGCGTTTACCCACTCAAACACACACATGAAAATGAAGAAATTCACATTTAAAGCAACAGAAATGAGTCTCAGCCGCTGTCTTCAGACATCCGTGCGACAGCTGTGCCGATAAACCCTCTTATCAGGTTTAAGTGGCGCTGATAAACCCGTCGGTCGACACGTGAAACCTCGTTGCTACATCAAAAACAGAGCAGCATACACACCGCCAGACTTACATCTGCAAACGTACTAAAACAGAAACAAAACTGTAAAGTAGTGGCAGACTGGAACTCATCCTCCCAACCACTAGGGGGTGCTACAGTCAGAAAACAATGGTCTAAACTTGATATTAATGAGCAAGTCTCCCCCAAATCAACTTTTTTTCTGATAAACTGTATAAATGCGTGTCTAATCGTGCTGCAGACACGTGTAGTCAATAGTTTTGTACTTTAGTGCATTTTAGTTAAAATTTTAATTTTCTGCCTAAAACTGTCAGTGTTGTGTCATTGTCAGGTAAAAACTCTGCACTGCATTTGAATTTAAATCTGCCATCGCTATTGGCTCAGAGGTACCCTAGAACGTTAGCTGGTACCATATGATGTCACAATTTCTTCCCACGGACCCACGTTAGATCGTTAATGGTTTCCTTGTGGGGTTACAGCACACTTCATCCCTGCAGAAGTCAAAGTAAGGCTGGATTTAACTGAAGCCAATAACTGGTAATGCAAAAATGTTTGTGTGCAGCTTTTAGTGTCCTTAGTACATGCAGATATTATAGCTCATCCCTTAAATAAAAGAGTTTTTTTAATCCTCCAAACAATCCAGAAACATGCATGCCACCACATCCCGGGATCATGAGGTCATGTTTGTGTGTCCGGGTCATTGTAAATGCAAACGACAGCTAGCATCGGCATCCTCGAGCACAAAAATAGAAATTTGTGGTGTTTCTATTGTTTAAGAGCCGTTAGCAGAGTGAGTCCTCTCTCTCCTCCTGCATACTGTAATCTATCTCATCCATCTCTCGTTCGCAGTCTTCACACCCTTCTGTCCCGCATCCCTCCACCACCACCACGCCATGAGAGTCCACCATCCTTCCTGCTCCCATTCCAGCTCCTCCCGTTGCTCCCATTGTTCCAGCTGCTCCTCCGATTCCCATCCCAGAGCTGCTGACTCCAGATCCTCCTCCTCCAACTGACAATGCCCCCCCAGAGCTGCAAGCCCCTGGTCCAACAGCTGGTCCCACTCCCCGGGGCCAAAGTGGATCCATGAGCGCTCCCTGCTGGCCGATCTGGATCAACTGGCTGACAGAGTAGAGCCCTCCGCCTCCGCCTCCAACCACCTCCTCATAGGAGGGGGCGATGGTAGCGGTGCGGGCCTCCTCCAGCCTCAGCCTGGCCCTGTGCTTCATCTCGATGAGGGTCTTTGTGTACGAGTTGAGTGTCGCCACAGCGGCGGCCATGCAGCAGCTGAAGGAAAGCCACGCTAAACTAGAAGGCAGAAAGGTTAAAGAAGACACATCTGAGCATACCTTCCCAGGAAATGGGATTAGAAAATGGTCCAAAGAGCAGAAAATCTTTGGATTAACAGAAACGTACGCAAACGACCATCCATAGTCCCAGGACTGTGGCCTCCAGTCCTTTGGTCCGATGCTCACAGTCATCTGGAACACCGTGGTGTACATCATATGAGCGACCATCCCCATCAGGCCTGACCAAGGAGAGAAATGTCCTTTAAATGTTTTTTAGCACCTCCAAACACACAGATTGACATTTAAAGATGTGACTAATGTAAACGTTACTGAACACAAAGCCCCTTTTGGTTTAGAGCTTTGCACAAACCCTTTAAATGCACTAAATTAAAAACAAATCTGTTTTCTGACCTGAGAGAACGGTGCACATGGCAGCGAAGGCGTTGATCTTCAGGGAACTCATCTCCTTCTTTGCACACAGGCACATGGCTTCCACACACATCAGCAGGAAGCCCATCGCCAGCAGGCCGATGTACATGAACTCACTGATGACGGACAGCCACAGCACACCTGGAGGGGGAAATAAATGAATGCATGAAAAAATGTTTCCTTTCTATAAAGAATTGGTCTAATAGACCGACCTTGTGTTTGTTCGGGGGTCAGTTCAATAAAGCTGCGGCACTTTTCTTCCTGATCATCACCTGGGAAAACAAGCATTCACCCAAAAACGTGATTTGATGCTATAATCTTCTTCTCTTTCAAAATAAACCTAAATGAGACGAAAACCCATCAGGATATTTTAGTTTATCTTCCTCATATCTATGTGGATGGACGAGCACGGAGGTCCCCCACCTTCGTTGTGTTTTTCACAGGAGAGCCAGAAGCCGGTGTGGAAGTATCTCAGCATGTACTTGTCCTCGCCCGTCTCCCACAGATAGTGCACGGCGTTGGCCAACTGTTTCTTCCTAATCAGAGCTAGTTCCTCCTTCTGCTGTGGGGACAGCGTGGCGTTGGGCACCGGGTTTCTAGGGTCCGGAGTTGGAGCCTCTGGACAAGAAAATATGAGATTAAAGCAAACAAAGATGGATTTCAAAATGGAGGGGTGTCTGTTTAAAAAACAAACTGCAGGATTGCATCAACCTGTGTCATGTTCTGTGCCCCTTTTTGTCCCCACCTCCCTCCAGTTTTCCCCCCACGTTACCGTCATGTGTCCCCAAGACTCCTATGCCCCTTTTTGTCCCCAGCTCCCTCCTGGTTTCCCTCCAGGTTCCCCTCATGTGTCCACAAGACTCCTGTGCCCCTTTTTGTCCCCAGCTCCCTCCTGGTTTCCCCCCACGTTCCCGTCATGTGTCCACAAGACTCCTGTGCCCCTTTTTGTCCCCAGCTCCCTCCTGGTTTCCCCCCACGTTCCCGTCATGTGTCCACAAGACTCCTGTGCCCCTTTTTGTCCCCAGCTCCCTCCTGGTTTCCCTCATGTTTCTCTCAGTCACTCCTCTGTACTTTTCTATAGGTTCAGCTTTTCATCTTAATAGTCTCCTTTAGTGTGTGTGTTTTCCTTCCCCACTTGTTAATTAGTCTCCCTCACTCTTCAGGTCATTAGTTAGTTATCTTTTGTTCTCCTGTGCCATTAGCCTTTTAGGTTTATTTATGTACAATCTCACAGATTATGGTTTATCCCCTCCTCTGCTTGGTTTTCCCTTCCCGTTTAGTTTATTGATTTCACCAGTCTCTCCTCAGTTCTCTCTCCCCACGCACCTGCTTCTCATCTCCTAATCACCCAGCCCCCGTGTATATAACCCTGTCTGCGTCTCAGTATTTAGTCGGTCCATTGTCTTGTGTCAGTGCTGTTTTGTTCCCTCTTCGTTAAACAGTAGGTTTGTGCTCTTAAATGAGCTTTTGTTTTTTGACTCCCTAAGTTTAGTTCTCAGGCTTGGCATCAAGCACCGTTGTTGAGTTAGCTGCATCCTAAATAAAAGGATTTAACTTTTACAACCGCTCCTGCCTCGAGTCGTTCTGGGGTTTCTGCAACTTGGGTCCAAACCCCCCTGCTCTCAGAGAGACAACCTGTGTGTGGCCTGAACCACGGCACGCAACGCAATTCAGCTCTGAAACACTCTTCTTGAAGTCATCTGTGATGCTTTTTGACATGCAAACAAACAGGCTTAATACTGAACAACCGACGGAAGGTCAAAAGTCTCAGCTGGAGACACAAAGCGCTGAGATTACAGCAAAGCTGGGATTATGTGAATCTCCTATGAAAAATGTTTAAATTACAACGTGAAGCAGCCGTGATTGAGGTCAAACACCTACAGGAAAAACGTTTGGAGCGTGCTGATTGGATCACAAGCATCATTCCTGCATCAGGAATCTAAAGATCATCCTCAGCAGAGCTGGCAGGCTTCATGCGGGTTCACCTGATGCAGCAACGTTAGTTTTTCTGATTAAATATTCACTGAAACGTGTGAAAAAGTAAAGAATGTGAGATAATCAGCATTGGCCAGAGCAGCTTTGTGTCTTTCCAATCACAGCGCTCCATTTCTGTTGGACCGGTTCGACGCCAGTGCTGCGATAGAAAAAAAACTACAAAGATGGCGTCGGCTCTGGAGTGGCCATTATTTGAAACAGCTTTGGCATCATTTACGGTGTTTCTCAATGCCAAGGAACCTCGTCTTGATGTCTTGGCCCCGCCCCGGTTGCCTAGGAGATACATCATTGGGAGCCGCCAAGACGTGTTCCAAAGTTCATGTTCTACCGAGGCGTGTGTTCTCCGTTTGTTAGCCGTGTAGCTAGCTGAGCAAGAACACACGAGAGGTGTCTTGTAGCCTAGCCTTGGTCAAAAATTACCCACAATACACCGCGGTATTTTCAAAAAGACGGCGGATCAGAAGCCGGCAGCTACTTTGGGGGCTAATTTCAAGTTTAAAAATAAGTCAGCTCATTTAAAATGTTTTTTTTTTAGATCCAAAGAAGTTATCTATGGTTGGTTAGTTGCTTAGTAGTTGCAGCTTCGGTGGCTAGCGGGTAGTAACTCACTCATATTTTTTATTTAATAAACATATACACAATTTAAAAAGTAAAAGGCTCGTTATATATTTACATTGAAACTAATACGTATAAAATATAACGTTATCTCTCGTGTCACGTGACGTTATGTGACCGCCGTGGAAGCCGCGGTCACGTGATGCAAGTCTGTTCCATTTAACCGTTTTCTTTGACCAAGGAAGGACAGTGTCCTCGTAAGCAAGGCGCCTTGACACGGAGAAGCACCCTTAGACTTCGGCTTTCCTTTGATCCGTCTTCTTCGACGGTGTGTGGCGGCTGGCTGACATCCGTAGCGGTGACTACGTTACGTTTGTTTCTCTGATTGGTCCTGGCGCTGTCCAATTGTGTGGGGAGACAACTGGTAATCCCGCCCCACGACGCGGTTTAAATGGTTCGTGGCCAGACTATGGTGGCATACCGTAAAACCAGGACTCAAAAGACCATTTGAGAAAAACACAGGAAGTGTGTCTCCTCTGCAGAAAACCAAACGAGGAGCCGTGGCGTGAGCACGGCGCTTTCCCAGCTCACCTGTGGTATACGGCTGGCTGTTGTTCTTCCCACAGTTCTTCATCTTGACCGGCGACAGGCAGATGGGCTTCACCACTTTGTGCGTCCCTTCACACCAGTAGGAGGTGCAGAAAGCCGAGACAGACATAGTGAGGGCCAGGGAGGTGAGGCCTAGGGACAGCAGGGTGCGGTTCCTTCTGGACATGTTCTCCAGCATCGTTGCTTCTCGACTCGACGGGAGCCAAAGGCGTAATGACTCAGGCGATGGGATCACACCTGACTTCAGCTGAGAGTTTACTCTTGGTCTTGACCGGTTGGGACGAGAGTCAGACGAAAGAAGGGATTTCGTACCAGCATGAACACAAATCAGGTGGGACGCTGAGGGGAGCTAAGACTGCTTCATGATTAAAAAATAAAGCAAGACGAGAAGATTCTGGTGGTTGGAGCAGAAGGGCAAAGGTCACAGGGGAAGATGAGTAGTGGAGGAGATGTGAGAAGGGTGGAGAACATTTAAGGTCAGAGAACAGCGGGCTAAAGACAGATAAACTGTTGGTGTTTAATCAACTTGGGACAGATGTGCAGGCTGAAGGTTGCATGAGGATTTCCAGCTGTTGTGTCTTCGTCTAAGGGCGCTACCGTCTCAGCAGCAGTCTTCCAGCCGTAGCATCAGTCACAGAAAATTAGGATTTACTGGATAAACGATGCAGGTAATCAGCTCCGCTTCCATCAGATTACAACATCCTATTTAGCCCATTTTGTACACTTCACTTCTCTCCCATCCACGTCTTTTCCCCCAAACGCTGACGCCCGCTCGGATCCGAGTCCCGTTTCCAGCCAATCACTTCCAGGCTCGCAGCACATCCCACTGCTCAACCTCACCCCTCCGGGAGGGCCGAGTGACTAGTCCAGGATCTCAGGCCCGCATGACTCTAGATCTGCTAAATCTGTTGAAGTCTCAGTTAAGGTGGACTAGATAAATGCCTGGTCCTCCGATCGCCACCTGTCAGGAAAATAAAGAGAGAGGTAAACATCTGGATATAATCGCAAAAAGGTTTGTCTTTAAAGACCGTCGGTCTTCTACTCTAATCTTCAAGCCATAATCCAAAGGAAACTAGATTTGTTCTTTGGTTCTTGAAGTCATTTCACCTTTGATCCATGAAGCTCTGACTAATTAGCGCAGAGCTGGAAGCATCTAACCTCTGGTTAGGTCAGCGAGGACTTTAGTGCTGTTGTGATGCGGTCATTGGCCCATCACGCTGTTGACCCGGCCCTCCATCTGTCCACAAACACAACGCAAACGCAGCAAGAAGACATCTGTTTTAAATCCGAGAACTCGAGCTTCAGGAGTCCAGCCTGATCGGACGTCTTGCTTTGGGGATTGTGATGTACAAACACGAGCTAGAATGAACCGAGTTTCCCCGTCAAAAGGGTTTTCCACCATGTTGATTCTGAGTCACTGACACCTGTATGCACAGACGACCTCCCTCCCGAACGTTTAAATACCAGAAACCTCCCCAAAAAGGGCAATGAAGCATTTTTAGGAATGTTCATATGTTTTTTGTCCAAAGGGACTCAGAAACGACGTAATGCTGCAAGGCAGAGAATTTCACGAGTCGTTTCATGAGTCGGGTTTTTGTAGCTGTCATTGACCAAATATGAAAGAAATGAAAATAGAAATCAATGTTTGAGTTAGAAATGAACACAAACGGATCAACGTTCACCTTACGCATTATTTCTCCAGATACATCCAGGGGCGCCTCCAGAAATTTTTGACAGGGGTGGCCAGATGGGGCCAAAGAATTTTTTGGGGTGGCACACCAAATTGGTCCTTGTGGTAACTCTGGGAGAATTTAGCCAGTGGCGATGTGCTGCATTGCACCTTTATTTCGTTATCTTAGTTGTGATTAAAGTAACAGTACATAAAACATTTAACTTAAAATTTACAAACTCAAACATTTCAGTTATTTAAAATGTTATCTTTAAATTAAAAATGTATTGTTTTCAGGTAAATTCATTTGTTGCTGTGTTAAAAAAAGCTATGGAGATAAAAACTTGTTTAAAATGGTGAGCAGCAGAAACATATGTATTGTTTTTATTCAGATTATTTGTTTACTCATTAATTGTAATATTTTTATTTTGTTTTACAATTATGTCTTGAATAAACAAGATCAATGTATGGTTTGACTGAACATTAATATGATTTTCTTTGGGGAGCAGCAATTTTATAGGGGTGGCCATGGCCACCCCTGGCCACCCCTTGGGGGTGCCCTTGGATACATCAGCTAAATAACATTTCTACTGATTCATTTAGTCACTGATGCTAAAACGTCCTGAGCTTCGATCATCACATAAAATCAGTTTGTTGACACTTGATTACATTAATTACATTATTAAACCACGACTTTTGGAAAGATCTGATACTTGTGATCATGGCGACATTTATGGGATGGATTGAGGAAAAAAAGATCTGTTCTGGACAAATCCAGACTGAAACCAGCTGAGTTTAGCTTGTAGCTCTGATTTACACCAAACGAAGAACACTAACCGTAAATAAACGTTAATGACTGGTTGACCCATCTGTGTGAGATATCCATCTCATCGTGATGAGCTGAAATCTCGTCCCTCATGGGCGGGATTAGAAAATCCTGCTGCAGCTGGGAGCGCTCGACTTTCCATCACATAGCACTTTCTCTGCAAACCAGCAAATAAAGACGTAAATAAAGAAGAACTTACCGAGGCCGTGACTCGGAGTCGTTCCCTTAGTTTCTGCTTCGACTCCACCGACCATTCACCCAGAATTCCTTCACTTTTCCCTCTCATCTTCCCTCATCACTACTTCCTCGGAGTTGGTTGAGTTTCCATCAGAATCCCACCCGGATTCCCTCTAATCCTTCCAGCTCCATCTGTTACTTTCCCACCCCTTCATGCGGTTTTCATCCCTCCATCCTCGCTGCCGTTTCTTTCTCTCTACCTCTCCTTCTCTCTTCGCTTCCAACCCTGAAATGATGAATTTCACACTTTAGAGCAGCTTGAAGCTAGATGAGTCTGATAGCGCTGTAATCTGCTGGTGCGCGCTGTTTCGTGAACTTTGACCCTTACAAAGACAGCCCAGCAGCTGTGCAGCTGTAGCCAGACGTTTGTCAGCGATACGATTGTTTCGGCTCTGTTCTTTTACTGAACTGGAACAAATACCTTCAATAAAATAACAAAACAAGCGTTAATACACAATTCTGTCTGAAATACCAGCACACCTGATAGGTACTGAGAATATTATTGGACAGGAATTGGCTAAATCAATGCCAATCTTCTAGTTTAGATGTAATTTACGTTCCCTTTGGGGCCACTTAGTTGGGTTTTTATGCTCCAGAACACCTGGTGTGAATCCACAGGTGCCTGACAGGCTTTTGCAGAACATGAAGACAAGTAAGAGGCGACTTAACCACTAAACCAGGTGTGTAAGCAGAGAAATGATGAAGACATGCAGCACAGTTGTAGTAAAGGACCCTCAAAACGAGTCCTCATGGCAATGCCCATTTCAGGAATCCTTCAACCACTTTAAAAGAGTTTTTGGTGTTTATGTTTATGTATTTAGCAGACGCTTTTGTCCAAAGCGACTTACAAGTGATAATCGGCATGTTGCCCTTGAGGCTAACAACAACAACAACAACTTGACATCAATCATGGAGAGGAGGGAACAAAGGAGTGGACAGTAGAGAGGGGGACGGGTGCAGGGAGGGTGCTAGTTTAGAAGATGCTCTCTGAAGAGCAGGGTCTTCAGGAGTTTCTTGAAAGTCAAAAAGGAAGCTCCTGTTCTGGTAGTGCTTGGAAGGTCATTCCACATTTGTGGAACGATGCATGAGAAGAGTCTGGATTGTCCTGAGCGTGGTGTTGGCAACGCTAGCCGACGATCCTGTGATGACCGGAGCGGCCAGGCCGAGACGTAAGCCTTTGCAAGAAGATTCAGGTAGATGGGAGCCGTACCATCTCGGACTTTGTATGCTAGTGTTAGCAATTTGAATTTGATGCGTGCTGCTAGCAGTAGCCAGTGGAGCTCAATGAACAGAGGGGTGACGTGTCCTCTTTTTGGCTGATTGAAGACCAGACGCGCCGCTGCGTTCTGGACCATTTGAAGAGGTCTCACAGTGCAGGCTGGAAGACCGGTTAGAAGGGCGTTGCAGTAATCGAGGCGGGAGATGACAGTAGATTGCACCAGGAGCTGGGTGGCATGTTGTGTTAGGTATGGTCTGATCTTTCGTATGTTAAACAGCACAAAGCGGCATGAACGAGCAACAGAGGCAACATGATCTTTAAAGGTCAGGTGTTCATCAATCACAACACCCAGATTTCGAACTGCCTTTGAAGGAGCCAGAGATAGGAAGTCATTCTGGATTGAGATATTGTGCTGTATGGATGGTTTTGCTGGGATGACAAGTAGTTCAGTTTTAGAGAGCCTGAGTTGGAGATGGTGGGATTTCATCCATTTTGATACGTCAGAGAGACAGTTTGATATTCGTGCAGAGACAGTGTGGTCGTCCGGTGGAAATGACAGATAGAGCTGGGTGTCGTCTGCATAGCAGTGGTAGGAGAAGCCATGTGATTGAATGATCTCACCCAGTGAGGTGGTGTATATGGCAAAGAGAAGAGGTCCTAGTACAGAGCCCTGGGGAACCTCCTGTGGCAAGATGGTGCACGGTAGAGGATTGTCCAAGCCAAGATACACTGAATGATCGTCCTGTGAGGTACGATTGAAACCAGGCGTGTGCTTTCTCTGTGATGCCCATGCTAGAGAGTGTGGACAAAAGGAAGCCATGGTTGACAATAATGTTGTCAACAACTCCAGATACCTACTCTAACAACGTCTGTTAAATCAAAAAGATTAAGATTAAAGTCCCAGAGTTGGCACACACACTGGTGTGTGAAAATTGTCCTCCTCACTTGACCCAACCCCGTGGGGAGCTGTGAGCTGCAGACTCGGCTGCGCTAGGGAACTTTTTGGTTTAATAGCCGGATCACCGAGAAACTATTTATTTGTTATTTTAGAAAATAACCCCCCAGCTAGAAAAAACAACCAATGTTGTGTTTTGGTGCTGGTTCAGCTGCTGGACCAGCATACAAACACCAAAGGACAACATATGCTGGCAACCAGCTGGTCGATGCTGGTTTTTCCAGCAGGGCAGTCACTCTGAGTGTATTATGCAGGCTGAACATGAAGATAGTCTTCTACACTTATCTCCTACTTTAGCTTCTGATGTGAAACTCTAGGATTAGAAAATCCTGATAGATCTACGTCACGCTGTCACTGAACATTCATGGACTCACCCATCTTGGCTCATGACGGGGAAGGCTGTTGTTGGTTTAGCGTCCAGGAAACAGCAGAGAACGCCTCTGCTAGTAGAAGCTAACCGTTAGCATTAGCAACTCCACCACACAGCAAAACTCCTCCAGGCTTGTGTTATTTGTGGAGGTAAAACATCAATGAGGCAGAGCAGAGTCAGTGGTAGTCTCGTTGCTGTAAGCCAATCAGTGGAGAGATGTCTAAATATCAGGAAAAGAGACTCAAAATCCTGACGTCTGAAGCTACGTTCCCGTCCAACTGAATTCCACATCCTCACCTGAACTTTCCCCCTAATTTACAAAAGATTAGTTTCTAATAGAGACAAGTGAAGATGTGATGAAAATGAGTAAAGTTGACCTTTAAATACTTCAGGGCTAGGATGAGCTAACGGCTAATCTGAGAACAAGTGTGTTGCTGCTTTAAAACTGATCAGATCTCCATTATAGTCTCACGAAGAGTCAAGCAAAGTCATTCAAACCTTTACTGTTAGTTTTTAATCAAATGATTAATTTCTGTGATTATTTACAAGTCGGCAGCTTCAGCAGCAGCAGCATCATGCAGAGCCTCCTGTTTATCTCAGGGTCAAATCTAGCAGGATTTATTCAGCAATGCAGCTGAAAAGCCTGTCTGAAGCTAAATTTATGTTATAAATTTCATAGTTTAATAGTGATTCATAAAACTGTGATAGACTGGAGCTGTTGTTCTTAGGAGTTGAACTTCCAGGCTGAAAGTCTTCTCCTGCATTAGCTGCTGACAGAAGAAAAATCACTCGGATCATAAAAAGCCACACAGATCTACGTCACACTGAAATTTATCATTCATCATTTATTATTGTGTCCAGACAACTAAAACATGGCAAAACTTTGAAAACAAGCAACCGTGGCTCTCACATTTTGGTCTGATTTACGGCTATCTTGCATGACGACATCCTTCAGAACTGTGAAGGGTGGAATCTGCGTTTGGGCTGGATTTGACTCGATTGTGATGTCCTAATGGGACTCGCGCTGACAAACTGTTACATCTCCTCTTCCTGTTTTTAGACACTAAGCTCCTCTCTCCATGAATGGATCGACTCACATCCGGCTCAGCGGTCAGCCCTGTAATTAATGCAAAAGGCCTCCACTTCAAATTATTCAGGAAATGAAGAGTGAATGGACTCAGCTTAAGGTTTGTGTCATTTTACGGTAAAATCCTTTTGAGGTGTTTATAAATTTAGCATTAAAAATTATGTTTTACTATAAATATTACATTTTTGGTTTTTTGGAGTTTACTTCAACGTGCCCGTCTTAAAGAGACGTTACATCCTTTTTAAAGGGCTTTCTTACCTGTAGCAGATAGCCTGATGAGCAGCCTAGGTTTGGAGAAATGGCTTTTTTGTTCATTATTTCTGTCCTAGAGAAAAGACCAACAAGTGTTGCTTCTGTCTGAAAAAAGCTTAAATCTCCACATTTTCACAGAAGTTCATGCCCCCCCCCCCCCCCCCCCCCCCCCCCCCCCAAAATCTTTTGAGCTTGCGTAACAGGATACCTTTGGCAAAAGAAATGAAGTAACTCCTTCAGGACTCGACCCCTACAACATTTCCTAATATGCTGTTATGGAAATGTTATGTTTATCATTTCTTGATCATTGATCCAATCAACTGAATGTATTCTCATTTTGTTCAAACACACCCACACATTCCTGTGGCCACACACACACACACACACACACACACACACACACACACACACACACACACACACACACACACACCTTCTGTTCCTTTCTTATCTCATGTATAAATAAACTCTGAGAACAGGAGCTCGGGGCAGCTGCCTCGTGCTCCTGTCCCCTCGTTGCAATTTGGAGTCTTGTCTGGTTTATTTGTTTACTTTTCTCTGGCTGCAGGCACTGGGTTGTTGACAAAATCCCTGACATATGCTTTAAATTTAAAAGACCGGAGCCGTTTAGAACGCAGCAATTTTCCATTTTGGTCTTTGTGACACTCAAGACTAGCCGTTAGCTCATCAATCCCAAATGACATGTCTAATTCGAGGTCCTTCATGAAGTTTTCTACCACGGGCTAGACAGAAAAACTTTTTACACACAAACATGAAACGACCTTTTAAGGAGGACTGGCATTCCTAAGCTAGTCTTGATGCCCGTTTTAAGGTGGTAGGATCCTATAAACGCAGATTTATCATCCTTCACATATCAGAACAGATTTGCCACCAGACCGTCGAAGCTTTTCCCTCTCCAGCTGCACGCCCGTGAGTGTTTATGGCCCTCTTGTGGTGGCAGAACGCAGCAACCTCTTCTGGGTGAAAATAAAATTTTATCTTGGGAACAAAACAAAACCAGCATCACATGAAACAGAATGTAAACAATCGTTTACAGAGAGTGAGACACAATGAGGTGACTTCTTGTTTTATTTTATTTCTCAAATATACTCAGATACCGTCACAGTTTACAACACAGCTTTAAATTTAAATACACGACAAAATAAATTCATTTCATACAAAATTAAGTCAGAAAAATAAATAAATATTAGCCAGATGGACCACTCATCATTCTGACGCTTCTTCCCTCTCTCACCTTGACCAGACTGATCTCCAGCAGACAGGAAGTGGACTTTCACGGCTCTTACTCACTTCCTGTGAGAGGGTTTGTCAGAACAGACAAACTCTTCTGAATGAGAAGAACTTTTTAAAAAGTATTATGGGATGTCTGGATACCTTCCATACAGTAATCCACGCAGATTCTATCCAATTCCTCTGTTAGCTTTTCCCACCAAATGGAAAACTTCCAGAATCTCCTTTCAGGGTGGAAAACCGGTTCCCAGCTCCTGCTGATGTCTAAAGAAACTAAATCCTTGGATTCATCCATCCGGCCAGACTCCGCTGAAGGGAATTTCACGCACAAACGGATAAAAACACACACGCGGGATGTCAGGATGCATGCACAGAGCGGGAACGAAGCAGATCCGCTTTATTCACGCCGACATAAACTCAGAAGGACCCAGAGACTCCGAACACCATCCTGAACCGTTTCCTGAAGCGACCTGCCTGGTTGACCTTTACTGGAGGCCTCCAGGACTCATCAGGCTATAATTAAATCAATAAATAGATCAATAAATAGATATTTGTGATTGTAACACTCTGAAATACAGAATACTTCCAGATTTATCAGTAAGTACTTTGACTATTTACATCAGCACAATACAGCACACACACACACGCACACACACACACACGCACACACACACGCACACACACACACGCACCTACAGGTTGGGGAAGTCTTTCCCACCAAAGAACCACGACACGGTAAAGCTTTAGGGAAACACTCACATGGTCTGTTTCTCAGACCAGTACATGAATCTAAGAGTTTCTGTTAATTTGATGTTTTAGGATCGTTTCACACAAACTAACCAGCCTCTGGTTCCTGTCCAGCGCGTGGTCGTAGGTCCAAACGAGGCTCTGATGTTGGGTTTGGGTTCACGCAGACCTGCGTCTCCATAAACGGATTCATTTTACTGAATCGGCCGCTTGAAGAAACGGAAAAGAAAAGGTCCTGTCGGAGGTTTCTTCCTGTTTAAGGGGAGTTTTCCTTTCCACTGTCGCTACATGCTTGCTCAGGGTGGGGACTCACTGACACAAGTCAGTGACTCGATGCCACCTGCTAACTAACTGGCATCGTGAACTGAATGTTTGCTCTGAAGTGCCTCGAGACGACTCTTATGAATCGGTGTCGTATAAATAACTCAACTCAATAATATGAATATTGAATAATAATAAATGTACCGAAGCCTGATTTTCTTAGTAGTTTCACAAAAAAACAGCAACTGGACTTATTTGTCTTTTAAACACCTCCTTTGTCATCGGAGTAACTTTGTCACTTCAAAGCAGAAGGAGCAGAGTGTGGAGGTTTGTGTCGGGTTCAGACCACAGGACCTCGGATCTCCTCCAAAGATGGCCTCTTGCTCCTTCAGACCACCGGTCCTCGAGCGAGTCTCCCTTCTTAAGCTGTAAGGGGGCGGCTGAGTCTTTACCTGAAGAGTCGTCTCTTCTGTGTTTATAAAGTTGTCGTTTGGTTTCCTCGACATTAAGTTGAGTTAACTTTGAACACGCAACACCTCGGCTTCTGTTTCAGACACAAAACGAGTCTGAGCTGAGAAACCTGCTCAGGTGAGAAGTGAAAGTAAAGAAATCCGGCTGCCGTTATTTTACCGACTAGGATCCCCGGTCCTGGGAAGCCCATTTAGAATCGTCCTCATGTAAGAAACCCCTCCCACGAGAGGCGAGCCGGTGACGCTAGCTAGCTGCCGTGCCAGCTCTGCTAGCTTGATTTTGGTGGAGATTACTAAGACGAGAGGAAGGCCGCCACGGGGGATAAAATTAACCTGAGTTAATCCTCTTGAACAACACTTTGGCTCGGTTTTACGGTTTGGGATAAAACTGACGTAACTTCCTGTAATCGGTCCCAACGAGACGAGAACAAAGCCGTTACTGATCTGGTTACACGCGTGTAATTATGGGATGCTGAACAGAACTTTGCAGACGTGTTCCTCAGGCTCAGCAGACGTGATGAGCAGAAACCAGAGGCTACACGAATAAAACTGATCCTTCATTTATAATTTTAGAACAGCATGCAGATCTAATCTCTGCTCCGTTGAAGTTCCAGAAGCATAAACATCACAGAGGAATAGAAAAACACTTCAGAAGATCAGAGGAGGAACGGATTGTCACCGATGGTGATCGACTCATCCAGGAAGCCTTCCTCTTTGGTGTGAGGAGAGTAGCCGATAAACGGGTTTAGTCCTGCCGAGTCAGAAGAACTCGACACATCAGCTGTTCCCAAAGGATCCTCAGCAGGATATCCCAGCGGCATCATTCCCATTTCTCTCTGCGGATTTCCTATGACAAAGGTAGGTGGGACCTTTCCAGTTTCTGGAGCCACCTGAGCTGCACGGAACACACAGGGGGCGGAGAGAGGTGCTCCAACCGCCCATAATGGTTCCTTAAGCTGTGCCGTCTCCGCAGCTCCGAAAATGGGAGGAATGGCTCCGTGAGCGGGTGTTAGGCTGGGACTGAAGGGATCGTGGTTTTGGGCTAAAGGGTCGGCAAAAGCCCCGGATCTGTCCAAAGGAGCAGATGCCATCCCTTTGGCTTTGAGAGGGCCTGGGAAAAGAGTCAAAGTGATAAGAGGATGCAGGGATGACGGGGACGGAGGGCGGTAAGGAGGAACCGAGCGAGGGATGGAGGTAGGGAGGAACGGAGCGAGGGAGGAATGGAGAGAGAGAGGGAGGGACAGAGTGAGGGAGGGAGTGAGGGAGGGAAGGAGGGACAGAGCAAAGGATGGAGGGAGGAACGGTGCGAGGGAGGGAGGGACGGAGTGAGAGACGGAACAAGGGATGGAGGGAGGGATGGAGCGAGAGGGAGGGACAGAGTGAGGGAGGGAGTGAGGGAGGGACGGAGCAAGGGATGGAGGGAGGAACAGAGCGAGGGAGGGATGAAGGAAGGGAAGAACGGAGAGAGAGAGGGAGGGACAGAGTGAGGGAGGGAGTGAGTGAGGGAGGTAGGGAGGGACGGAGCGAGGGAGGAACGGAGGAACCAAGCAAGGAAGGTATGGAGGGAGGGATGGATGGAGGTAGGAAGGGAGCGAGGAAGGAAGAGAGGGAGCGAGGGAGGGATTCCAGTAAAGAGAAGGTGCATCAAGTAGAGCAGAGAGAAGGGCGAGAACATTCCTGTGGGTTAATATAGACTCGCTTCTGTAGAGTAACTTTATATTGTGTCACTAATGTTCACACACACACACACACACACACACACACACACACACACACACACACACACACACACACACACACACACACACACACACACACACACACACACACACACACACACACACACACACACACACACGGAGGAATGGGCTTGTCGTTAGTCAGTCTCAGCTCCTCGCTCTGAACCGGGTCTCGGTGTTTGGTTCCTGAATCATCCCAACACAAACACGCTTCCCCGTCCCGCTCGGATCAGGCTTCCTTCTGCCACAACGAAGCGATTCGGACACAATCCCCCTTAAAGTCTGCGTCTGCGTAGCTCCTTGTTGGTCCTTACCGATGGCTGGTGTCTGAGCAGCGAGCGTGTTGCTGTGGGAGTGACGTTTAGGTTTTGGGTCAGGGGCGAACAGATGGTCCAGGTCAACCAGCGCCGCCCCCGCCGAGCCCAAAAACAAACCGGTCTTTTTACACGTTTCCTCCTCCTTCGCCGTCCGCTTCCCTGCAATCAAATAAAGGTCCGTTGCTACTCTAAAAGGGGTTTTCTTCGGAGGAGGAGTCAGGGAGGAAGAGAAAGTGAGAGAGAAAGGTTAATTGGTTAGCACTGTTAGCCGGCTGATTCGTGTGAAATTAGGGATGAAACGGAGGTGATGGAGGAAAACGGCACAAGCAAAGCCACACGGCGTTAGAGCCGCCATATCCAGCCGAGCACTAGCCCGCTGCTCTACACCCACGCAGCTAACGCAGCAGCACCAGTTCATTTTAGCAGAACAATCAGAATGAACATATTCGCTTGGAGCAAAGCATTTAGCGGACATCAAACTAAAGGATCGGGAATGTTTGATGACTGTTGGATCAGAAACAACCAGACAGAATTTACCTGCGCTGGCGCTGCTCAGCGCCCCCCACGGATCGTTGTTTTTAGATCCATCTCCAAACGGGTCGCCAGACGAGTCCAAGGGGGAGGCAGGCGTCCCCCAAGCATCATCCGTGGAGGCCGGAGCCGACGCTGAAGCAGGTAAATAAAAGAAAAATGTTCCATTTCTTAATGAAAATGAAGGAAAAGCTTTAAATGTCCTGAAATATTTACTTTTACACACAAATAAAACATTTATTAGTAATTACTGAAATTCAGACTGGGCTCTGACTCCTTTGGTTCTCATCTGAACCGTTCAGCCAGGATGCTGAACGGTTAAGGAGAACGCCGAGGCTCTGAGAGGGACATTAGAAGATGTAAATTATAGATGGAGGTAAACTACGCCTGCTCTAGAGTTGCTGTGGACATCCAAAAGCACTCGACCGACTCTGGACGACACAGCTCTGGGTTTACGGCAGCTGGTGAGAACCGTTTGGCTTATGGTGCAGAAGTTTGCAGTTTTCTGATCATCTCCAAGGACATAGAACTACTCTAGAAGTAGCAGGGATGGTTCTACTGTTGTTGGGGTTATAAAAGTAATATATGACAGCATGAATTATGAGCTAACACATTAGTAAGCAACAGCAGCTAAAGGAGACATTCTGTGTGGAGTTCATTACTGAGATGCCTCCACGGGATTGAGTTCTTACCTGGAGCACCCCATGGGTCATTGTCTGGTTTGGACGAATCTCCAAATGGGTTACAATTATCATCTCGTGAAGAGGCACTCGTTCCATCGCCCCAGGGATCGCCACCCTTTGGAGCATCCCCCCAAGCATCAGGCCCTGTGGTTTGAGAAGTGGTTGAGGCACCCCACTCATCTGCTTTGTCTTGGGGCGAAGACACTGGAGGGGCATGGAAGGGATCTTCTGGTGGACTGGATTGGACTGTGAAAGGGTCCTCCTTTGGTGGCGAAGAAGGCACAGCAAACGGGTCATCCTTTGTGGGTTTTGATGCTGTCGAGAAGGAATCCTCTTGAGAAGACACAGGTGCAGCAAAGGGGTCATCTTTTGTAGACTTGGGTGATGTAGCAAAAGGATCTTCTTTCGGTGGTGTTGGGGGTGCAGCAAAGGGGTCGTTTTGAACAGGTTGGGTTGGTGATGTAAAAGCATCGTTAGGAGGTGTTGTGGGAGAAGTGAAAGAGCCACCTTTAGATAATGATGGCTCTGGGAAGGGTTCTTCTTTAGGCGTTGTTGATACTGGTGCAATGAAAGGATCGTCAGTTTGGGTGATAAAAGGGTCGTTTTTAGGAGCACCGAACGGATCGTCCTTGGGAGCACCGAACGGATCGTCCTTGGGAGCACCGAACGGATCGTCCTTGGGAGCACCGAACGGATCGTCCTTGGGAGCATTGAACGGATCATCCTTGGGAGCATTGAACGGATCGTCCTTGGGAGCATTGAACGGATCATCCTTGGGAGCATTGAATGGATCATCCTTGGGAGCACCGAACGGATCGTCCTTGGGAGCACCGAACGGATCGTCCTTGGGAGCATTGAACGGATCATCCTTGGGAGCACTGAACGGATCGTCCTTGGGAGCATTGAACGGATCGTCCTTGGGAGCATTGAACGGATCGTCCTTGGGAGCATTGAACGGATCGTCCTTGGGAGCATTGAACGGATCATCCTTGGGAGCATTGAATGGATCATCCTTGGGAGCACCGAACGGATCGTCCTTGGGAGCATTGAATGGATCATCCTTGGGAGCATTGAATGGATCATCCTTGGGAGCATTGAATGGATCATCCTTGGGAGTATTGAATGGATCATCCTTGGGAGCATTGAATGGATCATCCTTGGGAGCATTGAACGGATCGTCCTTGGGAGCACTGAACGGATCGTCCTTGGGAGCATTGAACGGATCGTCCTTGGGAGCCCCAAATGGATCATCTTTAGGAGCATTGAATGGATCGCCATTAGAAGAACTAAAGGGATCAGGTTTGTCTTTTGGTGCTGCAAAGTGATCCTCATCAGTTTCTCCTGTTTCTATTTGATCTTCCTCCGTTTTTGCTGGTGCCCCCCAAGGATCACTACTAGGTTTTTTCGGGGCTCCCCATGGGTCCTTCTTAACTTCCTCTTTCTCCTCCTCTTTTTCGCCTCCCCAAGCGTCACTTTTTGCATCATTGGATTTGCCTGCATCCTCCCATGCTAGCTCGTCTTCACTCAGCTTGGCCTGCAACAGTAAATCACAGAATTGGTAAACGTACTCGGGTGTCGATGGTGGCTCAGAAGTTGCTGCGGTTATACGCAACATTACTGGACTGCAGTGGTTGACAAGATAATCTTACTGCAGTACTGATGCTCACACATGTGCTGTGCAGTCTCCTTGCTAAATACTCACCCTTCTGTCTACTTCTTTCTTTTCAGCTTCCTGTCGAAGTCGCTCCTCCTTACGGGCAGCAAAAGACGCAGTCAAGTCAGCCACAGAGGGTATGTTGTCCAAGGATGGAAGCCCTGTAGCTCCGGGAACATACACCGGTTTGTAGCCAGGATCTTTAACGTTGTCTGCGGATGAAGCTGGTCAGCAGAGATGGGAAAGGAATTAATCCTTCATGCGTAAAAATATTTTAAACAGCAACAGTAATTTAAAGGTGACACTTAAGGTCAACAACGCCTCACCTGCAGCGCCTTTGGACGTCTTTTCTCTCGTCTTGAAAGCAAACTCTCTTTCTGCCTTCAGTTTCTCATCATCTTCCATAAGAACAAGAACAACTTTGGCCTTCTCTCTTACATTTACACCCTAGAAGAAAAACACCAAGGTTGGGACTTTATGGCAGTATGAACGTACCTCTTTTTCCAGGTAAAAATGAACTTTTTCTAAAAATAATGACACATACACCGCCAAATATCCACTATTTAAACAAGTAAACAAAACACACTGCACCTACAATAAATCTATTTTGTAACTGATAACTTACTTTGGCTGTTATGAGGTTATAAAGTGATCTTTGCTCTAATACCACTCAGAGATTTCATTTTTAACAGCAGAGATGTGTCACCTGGTCTTTGCCATCCTTTTCTACGAAGCGATACTCTGTTAGGGCTTTAACGATGTAGATGTTTTCTTTCATTTTCAGAAGCACACGATCATCGCCGGTCTTCAGCAGGTACTCCAGCAGCGTCAGAGACTAGGAGGATCAAAGCTTAAAAATAAACAGCTACACCAAGTAAATTGATAACTCCCAAGTTTTCCTAAAAGCTGCTAAAACTTTGTTTTTATGACATGGCAGAATATGGCATTTTGTGCTAATAAAGGCATTCTCTGTAAGAGTTATGTTCTTCATCACCTTGTGGATGTGTCTCCAGTTCTTATCATCCTTCAGCCGTTTCCACAGCATAGTCATGATCTCACTGCAGGCTATTGCGTTGTAGGTAAGATCAGAAATGTCAGCCATCTGAGAGCTGGACGGACCCCAAGGGTCATTGGATGTGGCCTCTCTAACCTGCAAAGGAAGCAGGTGAGAGATGTTGTGTCTAACAGGCGTGGGAGTAGGAAAATAAAATAAAATGATGTAACAGTGGCAGCTAGTGAGACTGGCTGCAGTGTGACATTGCCAGTGCTAGATGATGACCCACCAGCTCTACCACAACAATTAATTTCACATTTAATCAGATTAAAATAAAAAAAGTTCACTCACAGCTTTCCATAACTAAAAATCAGAATGACAAACAACAACAGCAAAGCTGCTGCAGCTAAATACATATTAATGATAACTGGAGACCCACATCTGATTGATCAACATTTGTCATAAAGATCAATGTCTCATGTTATACACTATGCTTAAAGAGATGAAAATCCCACAGCTTTCATTTGAAAAAGTGCTACAAAGTTGTTCATTTTATCAAGCAGTTAATTGGGCCTAAATTTGATGGTAAATTAAAGGAGAATGATACAAGTTGTAGGAAATCATCTTAAATAAATAAATCAAAGACCACAAAGAGCTAATTTCCTTAAATCATCCAAAAATGAAGCTAGAAGACTAGTGTTGTGACATTGCTGTGGTGCTTTCTCTGTAACTGGTGCACTGGCACCTCCAACAACAGGGTGTTCGTTAATATGGTTGTTATGGTTACAGCACAAGGTTTCAGATGTGTGTTTTGGTCAATCTGAAATGTAATTAGGTAAAAACACTCTTAGTTGTTTACTAAATAAACTAGAGAAACTAAACATGTTTTCTCACCTTGACCTCAGCCTCAGAGTAGTTCTGGACCAGGTTCTTCAGCTGTCTTCGGAGCATGGAGGATGTCATGTTGTCCAAGGATGAAGGTGGGGGATGACACCACCACAATCTGATTCAACACAAAACAACCCACAATGCAACAAGCTCCAAAAACTAAACAACAATGGTCCACAAATAAGTATGCATTACCACATATTTGCAAATACCTTGAATAAAATCTGCTTCCTCTGTGGAAGTGTCACTTGATTTGCTCGTGAACAAAATTGTCTGGGTCACTGATCTTTCATCCTGTTTTCTCTCCCTCCTGCCTGCATCAGTTTGTGTCAGAAACCAGATCCTGCAGCAGCAAAAATCAACCAATCAACACAAAAAGATGCTGAAACAGCTCCTGAATTAATAAGCAACAACGGTCAATAACAAATACGTGACATTAAGGCTAAACTACCCTGCTGTAGACGTCAGCTTCGTCTCTTTTTGACATTTTCTCTGCGGCAAAAACACTGATCCTCACCTTTATTTGTCAAATGTTTGGCCAGGCTACAAGCTAGTTAGCAGCTAGGTGAGAAAGCACAAGCGAAGAAATAGCTTTTAGTAAACGAGATGCAAAGTGTGACCTAAAATAACACAGCTTCGCTGTGTTTACAGGTTACATCTTTAAGGACTAGAAAGCATTTCAGGACCTCGGAGAGCGACTGAAGACAGTTAGCTGCCGTCAATTTGGCTAACGGGGAAACTGCAGCTGTCAAGCTAGCGAGAATTAGCTTAAACATCACCTGGAATAATGACTAGAAAAGGCAGTAATATTTAAATAAAACTGCCTCTGACAGTAGTTGATAACGAGATATACACGTCAAACAAATAAAAATGATGGATATTTAAAGCCAAAACAAAGCTCTAACCACGGAGAGATCTTCAGGAATCTTCGAGGAGACGACACGACGCAGCTGTTTCCGTTTCCGCTGTTTTCAGCACCTGCTCGTCCACGCCTCCTCACGACTTTTGTTTATCGTTGCTCCGCGCATAAATAGTCGTTTCTTCCGCATATCTCAATATGTTATTATAGAAAATGTGACCTGAAACCTATAAAGTATTTCAGATACTATAGTTTCAATAGATGGAGAGTAAATCACAACATTTGGTGGTTTGTTCGTGCTTACCCTTTAGGGCAAGCCAACTTATCATATAAAAGTTGCGGAACAAATAATGAGAATAACCTTCAATTGTCCCTTAGCAGGGAACAGCAGGACTGAGCGCAATTTGTGGCAGCGGCAGCGCGAGTGGCACTTGCGGTGGGATAGGATGTTTATATTCATAGATGTCATATAATACCCACAACACATCATGAGAACATTAGCCATATTTATATGTGCAAACACAAGACATTGTGTTTGAAAATGATAAATGACCCGCACTTGTATATCACCTCTCAGAGTAAGGACTACAAAGCGCTTTACACTACATTGCATCATTCATCCATTCACACACACATTCACAGACTGATGGCGATGAGCTACGATGTAGCCACAGCTGCCCTGGGGCACACTGACAGAGGCGAGGCTGCTGAGCACAGGCGCCACCGGTCCCTCCGACCACCACCAGCAGGCAAGGTGGGTTAAGTGTCTTGCCCAAGGACACACTGAAGGCACTGAAAATACCATTGAGAGGACATTTTGATACATTGGACTTCATACATTGTATTTGTAGAGTACAAGTTATGATACTTTTAATCTCTCAAATGTGAAAACTAGAAATTAATCTATTAGTTTTAATTGTTATTTGCAGTTTAAACATCATCTAGTTGTGCCCTTTTTGAATTTGTTGTCAAATGTAAATGTATGGACTACACGTCCTGAATTTAATGCCTGGTTAAATTAAACTTAAACTTTTTAACACAAGAAGTCTTGATAATTTACAGGATTATATACATACATATATATATATATATATATATATATATATATATATATATATATATATATATATATATATATATATATATATACCACAAAAGAACAATAAATGTTTAAAATAAAGGTCAACATTCCTCTAAACCGTAATCAAAAATTCTATTGAATTATTTTTTTCTGAAACAAATGATGCCATTTTCACCATGAACAAAAATGAATTTCATCACCAACATGTTTGATTATATGCTTAAACGGCTTGCCTTAAGCTCTGCCACCCTCACGCGCTCAGTCCCCCTCAGAAACGAACAGAATGAATGACTCAAGCACAACTCCTCCCACATCAATAAGAGTTGGAAGATGGCGGCCGAGGGAGAGTACGAGTCGATCCTGTGCGTTAAACCGGACGTTAACGTTTACCGCATCCCGCCTCGAGCTTCAAACCGCGCCTACAGGTAAGGGAACACCTGCCGGGGTTCGGGTGAAACGGAGTTCGGTGCAGCTCGGCTCGGTTCACGCATGGACACTCGGCACCAGAGCCCAGCCTCAGAGTGACACAGCTGTCTTTATTTCCTGAGCACACTTGTCCGTTTGTTGGTCTGGAGAGAAAACCGTTACCGTGTTCGTGACGCTGCTGGAGGCGCAGGAAGGTGATCCGGTTAGTCTTCATCCACACCGGGCCAGGGTGGTCAGCCTGCCAGGAAGAGTCCTCATTAGTGAAAGCTGTGGTGATGAATTATTAATCTGAAATCTGGAGTCTACTCTGTTTCATTGATCCTTAAGAATAAAACTACCCCACTGTGGTGACTCCTGCATGGCCGGACATTCCTCCTCAAGGGCCTCGGGGCAATAATAGGGGGCCCCCTGATCTGCCCCCACTGCTTCAGCATTTGCTGCCAGCCGTTTCATGACCGGTGAAGCCCTTCACTGCCAGCATTTCTCACCGTTTTTACTGATTTTTTTAACTCATTCACTGCCAATGATGACTAAAGTCGTCATTTGCATTTTTTTACTGTTTGAGCATCGGAACGAGCCCCCACGCTGAGAGAACAAACATCTCAGCCCTGAAGCTGATCTTCATCCGCATACGTCACAGATCACATGATCAGGAAGCAACACATACATGTGTTAGGAGATCTTTTTGGGCCGTTCCTGTAAAAAAAAGTGAGGCGCGAATCGGAAAAGCGTCTGCCGATCACAATTCGACAACGGATTATGAAAGAACGTGTGACAGTGTGAGCATCCTGTCACAATGTCCCGATAGATCATGCGCCCTGGCTACTTGGCCAAGGGGATGTCCCTTTGGCTGACTGGTTGGAGCGTATGACTCTCGCCCGGGAGTCTGGGGATTGAATCCCGCCCGGGCCCTCGTCTCTCCACCTTGCCACAAACAGATAACGCTCGAAACACGCGGCTTCTTCCTGATGTAAGAGGTGAGTCTCCTCTTTGTTTTGGTTGTTTTGGCATCGACATCATGCTAGCGCGCAACGTTCTGTGACTCTTAAAAAAAACAGTAAAAACGGTGAGAAACGCTGGCAGCGAAGGCCGTTAGTGATCAGGAAATGGCTGGTAGTGAATGAGTTAAGAGTGACAGAATGTCTAAACAACAAAAACAAAGCGGAGACTCGCCTCTTACATCAGGAAGAATCTGCACATTTCGAGCTTTATCCGTTCTTTCATAATCTGTTGTTGAATTGAGATCGGCAGAAGCTTTTCCGGTTCGCGCCTCACTTTTTTTTACAGCAGCGGCTCAAAACGATCTCCTAACACATGGATGTTCTGCTTCCTGATCATGTGACTTGTGACGTACGCGGATGAAGATCGGCTTTAGAGCTGAGATGTTTGTTCTCACGGTGCGGGGGCTCGTCCGACGCCCACACAGTAACAACATGAACACAATAGATAGCGTTCTGATGCAGTTTTTCTAATAACAACTAAGTTTAATCCAAAACATCATTTTTCACTCAGATTCGCCTTTTCTCTCCCTGAAGCAATCTCAGACACCTGCATGCACGCATTCATAATTATATCATCCTCAATCTTAGCACATCCAACACAAGGTCTATTTGTGCAAGCTTAAAATATCAACTGTTAAAGATTGTCCAACAAGGTTGCCGATGTTGATTATTTTTCCTATGATTGTCATTTCAAATCATTAGTTTAAATTGAAGAATTAAAACTCTTAAATTTCAAACTTGTCTTTTCATTGAACTGAAACACAGACACACGGATATGATCGTCAGTTTATCGATGAAAACAACCTTTGAGTCTTCTTATCTCTATAACATTTGGTTATTAATTTGTAAAAATTAATATTCCAGTTTATTCTGTAGAATGGTTCCTCTTTAATAAAAGAGCCATAAACCATTACACTACACACTGCACATTTCGAGCTTTATCCGCTCTTTCATAATCTGTTGTTGAATTGTGATCGGCAGAAGCTTTTCCGGTTCGTGCCTCACTTTTTTTTTACAGCAGCAGCTCAAAACGATCTCCTAACACATGGATGTTCTGCTTCCTGATCATGTGACTTGTGACGTACGCGGATAAAGATCGGCTTTAGAGCTGAGATGTTTGTTCTCACGGTGTGGGGGCTCGTCCGACGCCCACACAGTAACAACATGCCAATGACGACTTTAGTCGTCATTTGCAGTGAATGAGTTAAATGTCATTACAAAATTAGTTATAAATTTAGATTTTTCAATATCTTCTAGATTTTAGATGCTTTTACTAGACAATAAATTTAAATCTTTACTTCTATGGAGGACTTTTATTGCCAAAATAAACAATAAAGCACATTTGGAAATACATAAATATTTTCTAATACATTGTTATTTACATTATTTATCTTGTCTCCACATTTATTTATAGTCACATTTAAATATTTAATAAAAGAAAGACTCCACCATGTAAGGCAGCCATATTTTCAGGTCTGATGTGCACAGCTTTTATTACTAATCCAGCTGCATTTTGTTATGGACATGCACGTATTCTGATCTCAGCCAATGAGGAAGCGGAATTCAGTGCATGTGTTGGGACAAAAAAATCTAAGAAAATGTAAATAATCCTCTTTTTAGATCAGATTTGAAAAACGTGAAAAAAGCGGCAGATGTTGCAGGACGACAATTTCACTTTTTCTCACAATCAGATTCATCACAATAACTGAAATTAGCAGTCATATTAACACATTTTTGCTAGGACATTTGCAGCCAAAATTAAAAAAATCAAATTATGTTTGAACATTTATTATTGGCAGAGCTTGATCGGGAAAAAAAAGTATCTGTACAAACGTTTACAGGAATTAGTTTATTTATTGTTGCATTCTCGTTAGCTCGTATCCTGGCTAACGGTTTGGATTCAGGACATAACAGGGAGGTGGAGTGTACAGTCGGTAAAGACGGCTCTCCCTTGCCCCGCCTCCAACGTGCCTCCATCTAAAAAGGCTAGGTTACCCAGAGTTATCTCTGTAGTTATGCTGCTATAGGCTTAGACTGCTGGAGGACACACTGACCACTTTTCACACTCAACTACTTTCTTCTAAAATCTGCTCTTTAACTGTATTATTTCCTGCTATTTCAGCTGTTAACTTTATTTTCTCTCTAAGTGTTTTTCTCCCCAGAAGAAGCTACAATAATGTTCTGCTGAGCTGTGGTGGCCTCATGGAGGGGGCCATCGTCTAGCACACTGCTGCTAACCACTTAAACATTCTCCCTCTCCTGATTATAACTTTTTGCTTTCCTTGACGTTGGATGTGCTACTACTAGTTTACCCATTTATTTATAGATCCACTAGGATAAATACAATAAAGTTTATCTCTCGCCAAATAGAATATTTACCAAGAAATCACAATGTAACCATTGACACATTGCTGTGTATGTGTGTGTGTGTGTGTGCGTGCGTGCGTGCGTGCGTGCGTGTGTGTGTGTGTGTCTGCTCTGTCTTCTCGATCCCCAGTGAGTCGTGGAGGATGGCTGCTTATACTGAGCCAGGATTCTCTGGAAGTTTCTTCCTGTTAAAAGGGAGTTTTCCTCTCCACTGTCGCTTTATGCTTGCTTAGTATGAGGGTTGCTGTAAAGTCACTGACACGATGCACTTTGCTGGGTTCCTTATACAGGAAACCTTTTCTGATTGGCTTAATGAACTGACCTGAATTGGAATGTTTATTATGTGAAGTGCCTTGAGACGACTCTTGTCGTGATTTGGCGCTATATAAATAAACTTGAATAAAATTGAATTGAATAACCTAGAGGTCATGAGTGACCTCTTGTGACTTGTCAGCCTGGTTTTTATTTTATTTTTTTATCACATTTTATAAGCCTCCCCCCCCCCCCCCCCCCCCAAACTAAGTTCGAGAACAGAAGACGCCTCTTGGATGAGCGGTGCAGCAGCTCTGAGTTAACCAGAGAAGTCCACCTGTTTTGATTCAAAACTCAGGATACATCCCAGCTTGTTCTCATTAACTGGTGTCTGCAGGGCAGCTGACTGGAAGCTGGACTCTCCAGACTGGTCCGGTCGGATGAGAATAACGGCTAAAGGAAAAGTAGCGTTCATCAAACTAGAGGACAAAGTTTCAGGTTAGAACATTTGTTTTTTGTATCAAACCAATTTTATTTATGTTTTTAAAACTTCCTGGGCTCTGAAGGCACAGCTGATGTTGACACCTCCCCTGAAAGAATGTTGGTTATGCATTGTAGCCCCAGGCTCTATGAGAATGCAGCCTGGCCTGCCAGACCCGTCCTCTGTTTAATTCTGCTCAGAGAGAGTCTGGTAACCCACAGGCAGAGAGGCACATAAGGGGCGGGACTAGGCAGCTCAAAAGCAACCATCAGAAAAAAGGCGGAAATGCCGACTGCACCACGCGACGCTGTAGTTTTTTAGCTGTAGTCAAAAATGGCGTCTGGCGACGGCGCAAACATCGTTTTTTAGAAGAAAGGCTTTTTGTGCTTCTACTTTTTGTGGTTTTAAAGACGTGTCCAAGTCATTTAGAACAGAGGAAAGAGCCGCAGCGAATTTCGCTTCAGTCGCCATGTTTATGACAGACTCGGCGCTGTGGTGTGTGACGTACCTGTAACGATTCGTTAGTTACATCGTAAGTAATGACCCATAAAATGTGAGATTCCATTGGAAATATGAAATCAATTTGGTGGATCTTTGAATATTACTTCAACCAGAAGATCGGAACTTTTTATTGCAGGGATTAGGTAACACTTCTTATTAACCCAGAGTCAAGAGAGAGAGAGAGTCAAGTTTTAAAGTTAAGATTTGTTTCTAAACAATTTAAAACAAGGCTAACTCTAACTCTAAACACTCTATGTGATGAATGGATCTAGAGGTGAATGAGGCAAGATGGATGGTGTAAATGTGGAGTGTTGTTATCAGAACTCTCGTTTTCGGAGAAGCGTTAGTTCTGTGTGGGAGCGAATGGCTTGCTCTAAACTACAGTCGGAGTTTCACAACCACATTCAGACGCCATATTGCCGCTCCACATACCCTTATCGGAGACCTCCGATGTAGATCCAGAATGCCAGGTCCTCGAACCCCCTTTTGGTACCGGAGCCAGTGAAACAGCGTACGGTATGACTTGGATTGCCTCCAGGTAAACGACAGGTGGTTGACGGCGTCAGCGGGACCCTGAAGGGTCACTGAGTTCAGCTTTACTCTGAAGGAGCGTTGCGTCAGGTGGAGCTTGCAACAGGTTTTATTTTCCAGCTGGTCAAGGTTCTTTGTGGTTAAAAAGTTACGAGTGGCCGGCTCGAAACTCTAGAACGTTGAACTCATTTAAGGGTGAAGTGGGAATTAGTTTTATAATCCAGATGTTTTGATTTATGGTCGAATCAGGATTTGACAACAAAAGGGGATGGTATAAACACCACGCAAAGCCACGCCACGCGTCAGAGCGAAAGCTCTGATTGGATGAGAAACAGGAAATGTGTCATGTGACTTAACATTACGTGTGATCAGTCTAGTGTCTAGTTTAAAGTTTTATTACTTCTTATATACTGTCATAGGATTATAATATCAGGTAATTAATATTCTTATTTCACAGATTGATTGAACATTGAGCTTCGCATGATTATTTGGACTAACAAAGTTGTTTAATTATTTATTAAAAAGAAGAGTAGAGTCTTCTGTCTTGGTCTTGAGCTGGAAAGGGAGTGAAACAGTTTAGAATGAGAGGCATGAGACCTTGAGAGATTAGGATGTTGAGGGAGACCGTGTCTCCCCAGCTTGAGCAGAGCAGGCATGACCTTTAGGTCAGAAAGCAGTCATTTCATTCCGCTACATACCCTACTCAGTGCTGATTGGCTCGGTTAGAATTCTCACGGGGTGGGGTTATTTGAATAAGAGAGTTCCCAGAGCCTTTCTCTGTGCAGAATTAGAGGAGGAGTCTGGCGAGCCAGGCTAATGAGAATGGGCGTAGCCCTTTAGGACTGCGGGCCTCACTGGTTCTGGTGGCTCTTTGAGCCTTTGGAGATGAGCTATGCTTCTTGTCTGTCTCATGCAGGACCAAGGCCCGCCCAGTAGGCGGGCATCCACTAAAGTGTCTGACCCAATCAGCGTTAGCCTTAAAGGGTGAAGCCCGTACGAAATAGAACATAAACTGTTTTATATTTCTAGTGGAAAATGAGTAAAAAGCCTCTTCTGAATGGGTCTTCATAGGGGAGCTGTTTGCACAAGCACCCGTGAAGGACTATCCGGGTGTTTCGGTGGAAACTGTCAGCGACTCCAGCCGGTACTTCGTTCTGAGGATACAGGATGACAGCGGTGAGGACCTCAGAGATTAAGTCCATGATTTATAATTCTGTGGATTTTTGAAAATCCTGTAATTCATGTCGGCATCGCCGTCTTTTCTGTCTGCAGGCCGCAGTGCTTTTATTGGAGTTGGTTTTGGAGACAGAGGAGATGCTTTTGACTTTAACGTGGCTTTGCAGGATCATTTTAAGTAAGCTGGAGTGTTCTAGCGTCAAACGTGCATGGGTGTAATCTCATTGCTGCTTCATACTGGAGCTCAGATAATGACAGTGACCGTCTTCTGTGCTGCATTCTTTTATAAGAAGCCATTTTCCAGGGTTTCATTTACAGCTGCAGATGTTGGTCCTGCAGGCTGCTGAGGTGCACCGTTGCTTTGTTTTCTGTGCTGATTGTGTTTCTGCTGCTCTGTAGGTGGGTGAAACAGGAGAATGAGCTGAGTAAAAACGCCCAGCTCGGGGATTCAGGACCAAAGCTGGACTTGGGCTTTAAGGAAGGACAGACCATCACGCTCAATATAGGAGTAAGATGCCGCTCCACTAAAAGGGATTTTTGTCAGCATTCCCTGATTGTGTTTTAGATCACATGAGAGCCTCTTAATGCATCTGAAGTTATTAGCAACTGGAAATCACAGTAATTCTTCTGCAATCTGATTTATGTTTGAGCTTTTTGGCTGCTTGTAAATTTTACAGACACCTGAAGCTGGAAAGGATTCAGACATAAAGAACTACAACTAATTGTTGGTATTTACTGATGATGAAAAAAGTCAAAACAGATGGAAAAATCAACTTTTTTATGCTTTAAGTTCACTGATAAAAATGAAAAACTCGTGCAAACCGCTGAACTTTCTCTGTGTAAAATTATAAAATGTTCAATTTTAAACATAATAAAATATCTATTTCTCCTTTTTAATAAATCTGAGTGAACATGAGAACGATATTCAAAAACAGGAATGATCATTTACTTCATCTGCATCAAGAATTAGTGCATTAATTTTAATTATCATCTGTAAAATACCTTAAACGAGTGTTTCAATCTGCTGAGCTACACTTTATTTCTCCTCAGCATTTTGCTCAGATGAGTTTAAAGGGGCGTTATGGAGGTTTGACAGCCAAAACATGTATAGAAATAATAAATGTCTTCTTCATACATTCTCCTGCAATGCCCTGGTCCTGTAGAATGAGCCCTGGCATTTTTACAGCGATTGCCTGTTTTTCTGTAAAATCACAGAAAAAGAGAGATGCTCGGGTCGAGCAGGCTGATTCATGCGTGTTCACGCTCAGGCATCGCCCGTAGCATTTGCTATCCGTAGCTTTAGCAGCAGAGAGAGAGGCAGTGCCACTTTGTCGCTGTTCCTAACGCCTAGTGACAAAGCTAGCTACATTTCTGAGGACCCTTAGCTACTTTCTGTAGAACTTTCTTCTAGATATTTCCTGCAAATTAGCAACAAAATAGCCATTTTCGCTCCGAACCGTTCTTTGAACGTTGTTTCAGCTGTCATCAAGGATATAAAAGTTACAGATAGGTTGGATGTCATTGAAGTTTTAGCTCACCCAGTAAAGCGTCTGACTCTCATGCAGAAGAACTGGGTTCAACTCCAGTTGTGAACAGAATTTGTCATTTAGAGTTGCTTTTTTACATTAATGGTATTTTTTTACAGTAAGACGCCCAAATTTTTATTTGAGACTCGCCGAACGGCATTAAATTCACAGATAAAAAAGATGTGGGTTCAACTTTCATTTTGGAACAATTTTTCAAGCAAGGGAAGGGAATGATGTGAGCATGCAGGAGGACTGACCCATCATAAACCTTTGTCGGCTGTGCTGAAGAGAAAGGTACAGAACCAAATTATTTAATTAATTAGCTGCGTGTTCTCCTGTCCTCTGTCCTCCGGGCCACACACACACACACACACACACACACACACACACGGGACTGTCTCAGCTGTTATTTTCGTTAAGGAGTGTGCACGTACAGCATGCGCGCCTCGTGCACGAGCCTACTATTGAAGCTGCCGTTACGCTTTTGGCCTGAGGGGGCAATCATGAGCATAAAAATTCAAAAGTCCGTAAAGTCCCTTTAAAATGGTTATTTTTTGAGGTTGGTTTCTGAAAAAGCTCACACTGGACGTTGGATTAAAAAGTGGAAAACAACCTATTAGAGCAAATGTATCCACCTGTTTTGCATTATTTGTGCTATTCTGTCATTATTTTATTCACACATTTGTGTAAAATGTGACACAAAAAGCCCCAGCTATCTTTAAAGTTGTGCTTATTAAACAGAAGTAATTTCCATTATTTATGTGACAAAAAGTCACTTCTGAAACTCGAAAAGCTGCAAGTGGCTCCAGAACAACAGTTCACACACATCAGGATTAAAGAAAATTAATAAATAGTAAATCATTTGTTATCTTAACAATTTCTGTTTTCTGTTTATTTTTATTTCTAGCAAGGAAAAAAGAGGGACAAGCCCCGCCCCCAAAGCTCAGGTGGATTTGGACTCCTCCCACCACCACCTGGAGGAAAGATAGCCCCTCCCTCCTCATTGGGGTCATCCAATCACAACATAGTTCCGCAGACAGGAGACACAGCTACAGGTAGCTAACACCCAGGGCGATCAGCCTCTGCGGGCGTTTTTCACGCTGCCTTTAATCGTTCCTCTCCTCCTCTGCAGGCTGCCTGCTGGATCTGGACAGCAGCAACTCAAACGCAGTCGTCCCACCAAACCCTAGCTCAGATCTCCTCTGGGGAGACTTCTCTGCTCCAAAGAGGTAGATCACAGTTCTCCAATGTTTTAGAGGATTTGGCTGGAAATCTGTGATGTTCTCTAGAAAATTTCGATCGGGGTGGCCAGATGGGCCAAAGACTTTTTTGGGGTGGCACACCAAATTGGTCCTTGTGGTAATGCTGGGAGAATTTAGCCTGTGGTGATGTGCTGCATTGCACCTTTATTAGTTTTTATTAAAATAACTGTACGTATACATTTTACAAACACAAACATTTCAGAAATATACATTTCAGTTATTTAAAATGTTATATATAATTAGCGATGGGTACCGAATTCGGTACTTTTTAAGGTACCGACCGAATTCCACAGTACCGACTGAGCACCGATTCACCTCATTTGAATCGGTGCCTCGTTTCGGTACCCGTCCTTCACAACGAGAACTTGCCTAGACAGCTGCGCATGTGCAAGAGCGTTATGTCGTCGGTCGCTGCGAGCCAGTTGTAAACAGAGCAGCATGGTAGAAAGAACGCACGCTAAAGCTTGGGTCCACTTCACTAAATGTGATGGGTAACGGGTGATGATGAAACCAGCGACAACGATCTAAGTGAGACATCCTCATCTTAATCTGCTCCGGTAGGTAAATGAAATGTTTAAGATAACGTTAGCTTCATTTGTTAGCTTCCGTTTCGCTAATGTTGCGTTCGCTTTCTCCTCGGAACTCCGAATTTCCAACTAGAAGAACATGAACGCGCTCTAAAGTTTGGCTTCACTTTACTAAATGCGACGGGTGATTGGGTGAAGATGAAACCAGAGACAACGATCTAAGTGTGAGGCATCATCGTTTTAATCTGCTCCAGCAGTTAAATAAACTGTTTAAGATAACGTTAGCTTGATATGTTAGCTTCCATTACCACCATGGTTATCAGCTAATGGTGTGTTTGCTTTCTCCTTGGAAATTCTAACTTCCCAGTAGGAAAAATCAATTGAAAAAAGACAGCAAAAGGAATGAAGATACACAGTAAATTTAGTTCACAGTAAAGATGTTTGCTTCAGTTTAATTATCAGCTTATAAAACTACAAGGACGATGTTAAAATACAAACAGTTGGATGTTATTTATCGTGATATTTATCAAATATGGTTATATATTGAGAAAAATATACATTTAATTATTCTGGGTCAGAGACTCATGATTATATGTAATTTGCTAGAATTAAAATCCCTGCCACCATATTGCTCAGAGTCCATCTAAAGAAGTAGCCGCCATCATTGAAACGTCTCCATTCAGACCAGAGCAATCGATGTGATCAGGGTTTGTCCCTCCCACTGGTCATGGTCGAAAAAATTCATGAAGAAACAATTAAAACATAAAAATATAAAGTTTTATAACTTTTGATAAATTATATATTTATAAAACTAGTAAGATTTCAGAGTTTAATCAGTTAATGACACAGAAAGTTTTATTTAATGCATTAATTATTAAACATGTTGCACTCAGTACTCCTGTGTTTTTAGTATTATTTCCTTAAAGTCCAGGAAACCACAGAAATATTCCTCTTTGACTCTTTTCAGTTCCGTTCCACCTCCGTCTCGACTTCCAAACTCCACAAGCTGGATCCAGTTTTGAGCCGACGCCGGTGACGTCACACGTGATCCTTCATCTCGCCCGCTTTTGTGTCCATGGCTTCCTGCACAACGCGCCGATTAGCTTCCACACGCTCATCCTCAAGGCAGAAAACTCAGTTTCACCTCATCAGGTAAATAGAAAGACGAAGCCATGAAACGATGCGAGCCATCTACAGAAGAACATTTAAGGGCTACGTCCAGCAGAGCAGCAGGTGTTTTTATTGTCTCTGTCTGATTCAGCTCATCTTTGATATGGGATGGATTTTCTGCTCCACAGCTCCTCCTGCTGGTTGTTCAGAGTTGGACGTCACAAAAAAAAAACTGCTGAGACCATAAAAAATTAAAGAATCTAAGAATAAATAGCTACATATTTGCATTATTCATGAAATTAAATTAAATTTTGGTCAAAAACTTCAAAAATCGGGCATAAAATACGCTTTTTTATCCCAAGTGGCTTAAAATTTCCACTTATGTGGATCGTTCCTAAATAAAAGAAAAGTTATGTTTTGTACTTTATTACAAAATTTACTCTATTTCAGTAAGAAAACCAGTTTGAGAGAACTTGTGAAGTGTCTGTAGACTTTAAACCTGAATGAGTTCTTTGATTTAAAACCTCTAATTGCTATTTTTTTTTCAGTCAAATGCGCAATTTGCTTGAAGTTTATTATGTAAGCATATTTCATAAAAAAAACACCTCATTTATAGTTTTACATGTTAACCACTACTGGAGCCAAGAGCACTGTGCAGAATCTAGTATTTACTGATTTATTGAAGTAGAAAGTGATATTTTATCAGCTAAATAACTTTAAAATATTATGAAATACATTAAAATTACTCATGAACAAATAAAATCCAGAAATCTTTAAAGTAAATCATGTATGTTTATTCTGAGCTCCTCAGTATCAGCTCACAGTTCCTAGCCTTTTATCATGCTTACAAATACACATTTATAGAGATTAATGCATATTATTTTTCTGCATAGTTGCTTTCTGACAAAGTATTTAAAATAGTTTTCACCATTTAACTCGATTAAGCTTGTTAGGAACCTGCTTTTCCTGTGAGTTAATCAAATTTCATGTTAGAGGAGCTTCAATGTGGAAAATAATGCGTTTAAAACACAGTTGAGGGTTAACTTGACCCCCATTGTTATGTTTAAATCTGAAGAAGAACAAGGAAAAGTTCTAGTTTTTGCATCAAAATCTAAGTGAATTAAATCCGAAAACCGTGAGATTTGATGCTTAGACTTAATACAGGGTATCCGTGGGTCCTTAAAAAGTCTTAAAAAGTCTTAAATTTGCTTTTCCATATTTAAGGCCTTAAAATCCTTAAAAATGACAAATAATATTTAAATGCAGTTTCCAAAGGTCTTAAATTACCAAAGACCCAGTAAACAAGATATTTTTATTTCTATAAAATTTTTGTGAATTTGTAGTTGGTGTTCAGCATTTTTGTGTACGATGTTGGCGTAAGCGGAACCGTACACATTCAGTTGGTTGTGAAAGGGGGCTGTTTTTAGATGAGCACATTAGCTGGTTAAGCTAGTGGGAGCTTGCGCCATGGGGAAGTGCAAGTTTAATGGTAACTGGATGGCTAATCCCACGTTTGCGACGTGGCTAGCACCGGTTCCAGGCAATAGCTGGAAATTATAGCTTAAATTAAATTTTAAAAAATAGCTTAAATTTGGTCAAAGTGGCCTTAAAAAAGGTCTTAAAAAGTCTTAAATTTGGCTCCCTTAAACCTGCAGATACCCTGTAATAGAATGATGATCCTGGAAATTCTTGACTAAAGTTTAAGTCAGCGACGTAAGAAGCTTCTCCGTTGGAGGTGGTGTCCATCACTCAGAACCTCAGGCTCACCAACGTATCCTTATAACTCCCAGAGTGAAAACGCGACATGGATGATGGGATTTTTGTGAGATCCACGCCCGTCTGACCAAACGATTGTTTTCCACCCAACTGAATGTTTTCACGGCAGCAAATGGAATCTGACTGGAGTCGATTGTGAGTTTAGACAAAGTTTACAGATTCTCGTTTGTTCTCTACAGTAAATTAGTTTCGATGTTTGATTAAATGTGATCAGGTCACATGAGCTGTGTTTTACTAGCATTAAGATGCAGAACAGGGCTGCTTGTATGGAGGTATATATGGTGCAAAATATAGGATTTTCTCGATTTTTCTCTTTGACTTCTAATTCCCAGTGATAAAACACAAATACCTTTGCACCATATGTACCTCCGTAGTCTTGTTCCATGTCGTCATGTGTGTTGTGGTTTACATTACTACTGCTAGCTAAACGTTTCATTCCGCTCTGGATGTAAAATGACTGGATTAACTTGATTTATGACCAATTTCACGAGAGGCAATAAAACCTATCAAAAGATGATCAAAGTCTTGTTGTTCTTTTAAACACCGGGAACTTTACAGGAGATCGCAGGACTTGTTTTCTTTTCTTATTGTGTTATTTACCAAAGTAAACTTTTCAAAGAGTAACAGTGGATCAGTGAACTAATTATAACTTAACACCCTGGATGTCAGATAAAAGATGGAAACCATTAGATATGAAATGTTCATGCAGGTTTTGCACAAATAAATGATAAATGATCCGCACTTGAGTAGCGCCTTTCTGAGTCAGAGGAATTCAAAGCATAAAATGAAGTCTCTGCATGCCAAAAGAGTTGGATAAATTCATGGTTTTGGGTAGAATTTTATCAATTTTCCCATTTTGCCTCCATAGAGGGAGTCAGTGATTTAAGAAAAGCAGAAATAAAAGATTGTTTCCTGTATTTTAGCAGATTGAAGGCTTTTTGAAATCTGGCTGCAATAATTGTCAAATTCACAAACTATCAGGAATAATTCATATTTTATTAGCAATAATAAGCCTAAAGAAACACAAAAACACAAACTTATTCTGAATTATGACCAACTGACTTTCAGCCTTTATTATAATATTCCAACCATCATGAGGTACTGATTTAGTTCATTGTCAGCTTTTTTTCTGTTCTGACAAGCAGAACATTTTCAGACAAGTATCATGAAATCCCATCATGTGTTCCCTTCTGCTTATCCAAGGTCATGAAGTCCAGACGTTCCACACAAGGAGTTCCCTGGTCAGATAAATTATATCATCTCTCCAGAGAGTTCCAGAAAAACATCCAAATGTGGAAAATCAGGAAGTGTCTTAACCATCTCATCTGACTTTGTTCAACAAAGAGCAGCTCTCGTCCGAGATCCAAAGCTCAAACCAGCTCAGTGACCGCCCAGGGACTGGCAGATCAGGGTTCAAATGGTTCCCGAGCACGGCCACCGCTGCAGCTCACCGCTCCGCACAGGGATGGGTCAAATGTGAAGATGTAATTTCACCAGTGTGTGATGACTAATGGGACTTTAAAGCCCAGTCGCCCTATAAGCAGTGGCGGCCCCAGAACATTTTCATGAGGGGGCCAGTGAAAGTTACGGGGTGGCAAACAAAGTTTGTCCTTGTAACTCTGGAAGCGTTTAGCCTGCGACGATGCTTTGCTTACTCATTTATTCTTTTCACTACAGTAAAAATGCGTCCAACACATTTACCTCAAATTTGATGAAAAAAAGTCATTAAAAAACCTTTAAAACCTTTTAATTATAGTTTACATTTTTGTTCTAGCAATTTAGAACGGTTGAATTTGCCTGTTTTGGTCTTAATGAAAGCATCCACAAAATTATTGATATTTACAATCCGTTTAAAAAAAAATAAAAAAATGTTATGTCCTCTTTGGGTGCCAGTGAGGAGGCCACGGCCCCCCTGGGCACCTTCTGGGACTATCACTGACTATAAGAATCATTCTTTCTCTTGGATCCAGGATCTCACTCTTTAGGTGATCCACATTTGATCGGTGGTAGTTCGAACATAGACTGACCTTGGTCAGAAAATCCGTTTTCTGCCCAAGAAACGCAGATTTTACTTAGCTAGCACTTGTCCTGACAGCTTCACATCACTGCAAAATGTTTTTTTTTTTTTTTCTCATGTTGCAAAGTTTTTGCACCACAGCTCAAAGGGCTGTTGCCTGACATTCTGGACAAAAAAAAAGTAAAAAAGAAATTTTGCATTTGATGAAACATTAAGAAAGTTTTGCACTGCGCATCCCGGTTCGCCCGGTGTTCGTATCACGCTCTCTGTGCTGCGTGAGGCTTGTTAATGAGGACATGGTAGAAGTGAGATGTGGTGGAGGTCAGAACAAGACCTCAGAAGCCGCAGCAGCTTTTAGCTCTGCTGACAGACGTAAAAAGAGCAGCTGGACAGACGGACGACTGATCTCTTTCGACACGAATCAGGAACACGATTCGTCTTCTTTCGAGTCTGTTGTCACCTCGCTCTGCCTCTTGGAAACTTAAGTCCTCAGGTGTTGGCTACATTAACCAAACATGCGGCGCTGCCGTTTGATCAGCTTAATGTGTGCGTGTGAGGACATTTTCTGAAGATCTGGTGTAAAAATCAGGATTTAATGTCGGAGAGAGTCCGTGGAATGTCGGAACGAGGCTGTTTAAGTGTGGGAACGTGTGAGTCCGGCAGCTTTTTCTGATCCGAGTCGCCCCCTCTGACTTCCACACCGAGACACCTCACGTGTAACTTGGACTAATTATTCACACTCCGAGTCACTGCCAAGTCTGAGGGACACAGTACTCGTCAAAAACTTGACACCATCACTCTGGAAACTTTGGCTTGCCTTCCAGGAAACTTTGCCATTTATCATTTTAGTTCCACTAAGGATCAAATTTAAAGGGATCAACTTGTAGCTCAATTACGCTGAAACCAACAACTTCAGAACATGGCGTATTTATTTTAATCTGCAGTTTTAATCACACTTTTAAACATTTAGAAAGAAAATTCACATCTTTTTTGCTACTATTTGTGAGATAACGCATAAAATTTTCTTAGTCTTGCACCAAACAACACAGAAACCCGTGTTGTTATCCAGACATCGAGTCTGATGGTAAAACGTGGATTTTAGGCTTTTTAGATCATGCAGGACTGGTGAAACTAGACAAACAACACCGAAACTGGGCTACTTTTTGCTCCTAATTCAAGGATCATGAGTTCTGTCCCAACATATCTAGAGAAATGGATCAGAGTGGCTCACAGATCCTACCTTCTAAGTGTGACCCAATTATCAGTCTCCTCTTAACGAGCTCTGTGATTA